AAGACTTGACCTCAAGTCTGAATTTAAAGAAAACTACAAACTTCAAGTCTGGAATTGAGGAAACTTCTTCTTAATATCTTCAAGGAACTCCCAGGTGGCATCTTCCTCCCCCTGGTGCGACCACTGCACAAGAATCTGAGTAGCAGGCATATTATTCTTGGCTACCATTTTCCTGGCCAAAATCTGCATCGGCTCCACCTTTAAGCTTCCTTCAGCATCCACTTCTGGTAAGTATGGCTGCATAGTTCCATGATTATCCACAGCCCGTTTGAGCAGAGAAACGTGGAACACAGGATGTATCACTGTTCCTGGGGGTAATTGCAGCTTATAAGCTACTGTTCCCACCTTCTGAATCACCTTAAAAGGTCCATAAAACCGAGCAGCTAACTTTTGATTTGCCCTGGCTGCTACAGAGGTCTGCCTGAATGGCCTTAGCTTCAGATAAACTTCATCACCCACCTGCAGCTCTCGTTCAGTGCGGTGCCTGTTTGCCATCTGCTTCTGTCGTACTGTGCCTGCGCCAGATTAGTTCTGAGAATGTCAACCATCTTCTGCTGCTGTGTGAGTCTATCAGCCACTGCAGCTACTGATGTAGATAAAGGGTTTTGCACCGCAAACTGAGAGGGAGAGTATCCATAGAGCGCTTCAAATGGAGTAGTGCGAAGACTAGTGTGGTAATTCGTGTTGTACCACCACTCAGCCATAGACAACCAGGTGGACCAGTCCTGAGGTTTGTGGTGCACCATAGCCCTTAAGTACTCCTCCACACAACGATTAACTCTCTCAGTCTGCCCATCCGATTGTGGATGGTAGGCTGTAGAGTAATGCAAACGCACACCCAGCAATTCAAACAACGTGGACCAGAACACACTTGTAAACACTGCATCCCTGTCACTTACAATCGACTTAGGTAACCCATGTAACCTGTGCACACCGTCAAAGAACACTCGAGCAACAGACACAGCAGTATAGGGGTGACTGAGAGCAAAGAAATGGCTGTATTTGGTAAATCGATCTACCACCACCAATATCAACTCCTTACCTCCCGACTTAGGCAGCCCTTCAATGAATTCCATTGACAGCTGCTGCCAACTCCCCTCAGGAACTGGAAGTGGTTGGAGTAATCCAGGATATGGTATGTTCTCCACTTTGCACCGTTGACAAGTACCACACTGCCCTACAAATTCTCTCAACTGCCTCTTCAAACCAGGCCACCAAAAATACTTCTTGATACGTTGATAAGAAGCCTGCACCCCTGAATGCCCACCAATGGGGGATCCATGGAATAATTCCAGCAAGTGAGCCCTCATGGTACCAGCTTGACCCACATACAAGGAACCCTTGTGATACAGAAACCCATTCTTGACCTCATTAACACGAGGGCCCACCACAGGAACAGCAGCACTAATCATCATGTCCTGAATGGCTGTATCACCCTCATATGAAGCCTCAACATCAGTAAGCCAACTCGGTAACACAGCTGAAATAGCTTCACACTGCCCTGCGTCTGTAAATTTAGGATGCCTAGAGAGAGCGTCAGCCACTTGATTGAACTTCCCTTGGCGATACCTGATTTCAAAGTCCAGACCAAGCAACTTAATCAACCCTTTCTTCTGTATTTGTGTGTGTACTTTCTGACCCAGCAAATGTTTCAGACTCTCATGATCTGTTAATATAATGAACCTCCTACCTTCCAAATAATGGCGCCACTTGTCCACCGCCAAAATCACTGCCAAGTACTCTTTCTCGTATGTAGACAGCCCCTGCTTCCTAGGACATAAGGCTTGGCTGTGATAAGCAATAGGCCTGCCTTCTTGAGATAGTACAGCCCCTATACCCACACCACTAACATCTGTCTCCAGAGTGAAAGGCTTGGTGAAATCAGGAAGAGTGAGAACAGGAGCCTGCACCATGGCTGTTTTCAACACTTCAAAAGCCTGCTGAGCTACTGAGGACCACTGGAAACCATCCTTTTTCAATAAATCAGTTAAAGGTTTGGCTATGCTACCATAATTTTTCACAAACTTCCTATAGTAGCCAGTCAGCCCCAAAAATCCCCTTAGTTCCTTCACTGTTTTAGGGACAGGCCATTCCTCCATTGCTTTGATCTTATTGGGATCAGTTGCTACCCCTTCCTGAGTAATCACATGGCCCAAGTAATCTACCTGAGTCTGGCCAAAATCACACTTAGATGGTTTGGCAAACAGTTTATGGGATCTAAGAATGGACAGGGTAGTGGCTAAATGGGTTTTATGGGAATCCTGATCAGGACTGTACACAAGTATGTCATCAAAAAATACAAGGATGAACTTCCTAAGATGTGGGGCAAAGATTTGGTTCATAAGGGCTTGGAAAGTGGCTGGGGCATTTGTAAGGCCAAAGGGCATGACAGTGAACTCAAAATGGCCATGGTGTGTTCTAAAGGCTGTTTTGTATTGGTCAGCAGGGTGCATTCGAATTTGATGGTATCCTGACAAAAGATCTAGTTTGGTAAAGTATTTGGATTGATGAAGTTCATCAAGGAGATCATCTATGACAGGTATGGGAAATTTTTCTTTCACAGTAAGAGAATTAAGCTGCCTATAGTCAACACAAAATCGCCAAGACCCATCTTTTTTAAGGACCAACAGAACAGGAGATGCAAAAGGGCTACGACTGGTTTGCACATATTTGGAAGCCATCATTTCTTTAACTAATCGCTCCATCTCATCTTTTTGTTGTTGAGAATACCTATAGGGTCTAAGGTTCACATGTTGAGAATTTGGAAGAAGGGGAATTTGGTGATCACAGGCTCGGGAAGGGGGTAAGGAAGTGGGTTTGCCAAACACATCTAAGTATTCTGCCACAACTTCTTTCAAGAATTCAGGAACTTTACCTTCTTGCAGCACTCCAGCTCTTTTGTTGCCAACTTCCTCCACTGTTATGCTAAACAACTGACCAGACCCTCCCTTCCGGACAAGCCTGCACAGCTCCTTACCACTCATCATTCTACAGCTGCCCCTATCTTGCACCCCTGTGAGAACCACTTCCTGGCCTTTGATATAAAAAAACAGCTGCAGATTGTGGAAATCAAACTTGACAGGGCTCACTGTACGCAACCAGTCATGTCCCAACACCATATCATGGGAGCCTAGCCTTATTATACGAACATCATGCACAAACTGGTGTCCTGCCATTTCCCAAGTAAACCCTGCACAGCTCATGGTACTCATCAGAACGGTTCCATCTGCCAGCTTCACTCGCAGGGGAGGAGCTGATACCAACACACACTTCAATTCACTGGCCTTAGATTCATGGAGGAAGGTATGGGTACTCCCTGTGTCCACCAAGATGTTGAACTTGTGCTTCCTGACACTTCCTTTCACTACAAGTGAGTTAACCCCACCACTTAGAGACTGCATTGCCACATCCACAGGGGCTTCCATGAATCCTTCGACTCCCTCACAATCGCTGTCCTCACTGTCATCATCAGAGGCACTCAAATCTAGAGGAAGAGTGTTCCCCGAATCAGCAGCTTGGATCATGTTGAGTTTGTGGTTAGGAGTACAGGTATGGCCATAAAAATATTTCTCCCCACATTTGTAACAGGCCCCCTTAGAAGCATTGTTCTTGGTTGAAACAGGAGGGCCAGCAGACCTATTTCCTCCATTCGTCCTAGAAGAATCCCATTTACGTGCAGCAGGACCACCCACACTCGGAGTAGAGGATGGAAACTGTGGTCTAATGTTCTGATTCTTCCATTTCCTCCTCTTGGCTTCATTAGAAGTCTCCTCCAACTGAGCGATATGGAAAGCATCGGAAAGAGTCTGTGGTCTCATCATCGTAACAATGGGACACAACTCTTCCTCGAGACCACTAATAAAACTGGAGATGAAGTAATCCTCCGAAAGAGCCGCATTATAACGCAGCATTTGCGACCTCAAATCCTCAAACTTCTCCTGATAGTCAACCAGCGATCCCCTCTGTCGAAGCTTATTAAACTCTCCAACAACACCTCCCTGCGTCCAGTCACTAAAACGAGCACACAGTGAAACCACAAAATCACCCCATACCAACTCCCTACGGGTGGAAAGCCAGCCTTCATACCAACGATCCGCCCGCCGATCAAAATAAATCGCTGCCATCTCAACCCACTGATCAGCCGAAATCGCATAGATCTCAAACATCTTCTCACATTTTCTAATCCAATCCCTAGGATTCTCACCAGTAAAAATAGGGAAATCAAGGCGAGGGAGCTGCACCTGATGATTGTTAGGATTGTGATTGCCGCGAGGCGGTGGGGGTGGATGAAGGGGATGACCTCGCGGTGGCGGTGGAAAGCCCGCCGCAGCAGCTCCCAAATCCGGCAGAGGAAGAATGCCACAATCATTGTGCCGGTCTCTCGCAGCCAACGCCGCACCAGCCACAACGACCTCCGGCTGAGGTCTGCCAAGCTGATCGAGGCGGCGAAGCACCTCCTCAAAGCGCTGATCAAAACGGAGCTCGAGATCGTCAAAATGGTGATCGAGCCCCCCCGACTCTGGTGGTGAGATTCGCGAACTGCAGAGAATGGCCGTCGGCCTTAGTGGATAGCTCCTGGAGCTGATTGTCACTCTGCGACTGCCGGTGTCGAAGTACCTCAGCCTGCTCCTCCGAATTCGCGATATACATCGCGACATCACTTCGTAGTTGCTGCAAATTGGTGTCTAAGGCATCGACGCGATTGCCGACGGTGGAAATGCGTTCATCAATCACGACGGTACGGGTTGCGGCCGCCATAGGTGTCAAGTTCAAGCTCTGATACCAGCTTGTGATGCCTGGACCTGGAACTCGACGAGATTCTGGAAGAATAAGGGGAAAGGAGAAGGGAAAGTAAGAGAGAGAGGAAGAGAGAGAGAAGGAGGGAAAGTTTGTTATTATTTCTCAATGCCGTTATCACCATCTGACTTTGCCTTTTATAGCCAGAATACAAATTCCCGTTCAGTACCCAGACTTCCAATCTATTACAACTAACCCGAATGTTACACAGAGGAATAATCAATTGCGATGTTGAGGAGCAAACCTTCCTCGACGCGAACTTCTTCCTCCTTCTGGGTGCAAAGACAACAGCGGCAGGGTGACCTTCTTCCTCGACGGCGACGACTCGGCTTCTCCTTCCTCCTCAGCAACGGCGCGACTTCTCCTTCCTTCTTAGCAACAACGCCTAAATCAGTGAGTTGAACCTTCGCATTTGGCTTTCTTGAAGAAACCCAGATCTTCATCGAGGGAAACAAAAGCGCGCTAAACCCAGGTTTGCACAGAGACATCGACACCCTCTCCTTCCTCTTTTTTGGTGGTGCTTTGATAGACAAATCGGTGGAGGTGGCGTCCGTGAAAGACTAACGATAGTGGGGTGAGTGTAGCCTCTTTTCTAGTGGTGCTTTGGTAGACGAATCAACGGAGGTGGCGGCCGTGGAAGACTAACAGTGGTGGTGTGAGGGCGGCAGAGCAGAGTTGAGAGAGGAAGGGAAATGTTGGCACAAAGACATCGACACCTTCTCCTTTCTCTAGATCTGTGCATTTGGACTGGTCCCCTTCCAGTCTCATGTTCTTGACTAGTTTGCCACCGTTCTCGCTCATCATTTTCTGGTAACATCGTTCCCCTTTCCTCTGTTCCATTGAGGGCAATGTCGAACTTAAGTGTGGGGGTGTTTTGTATTTATTGGAACATATATCTATGTGCTTGAAGCCTAGTCCGCTATCCAAATCTCAAGATTTGAGGGCTCCTGGTATTGATGTTTGCATGATCATGTTGGCAGCGTGGTGAATCGAATAAGTGTTAAAATTGATGTATGGAAACTTGATTGTGACTAGGACAACCTATAATGATGACCGAGACATGAAGTAGATTTGTGTAGGGGTTCATTTTTTCAATTGTTTGCTTACCAACTGTGACTTGGATTGATCACTTACTTTCTACAGTCGTTTATGCATCAAGTTCAGGGAATCAGAATGAGAGATAGAGAATATAGGTAGCCATGTGAGATTTGAGCCTACTCGTTTCTTTCTTGTGTGATAGATCCCTCTTCTATTAAGTGTAGCATTCACGTTGTCACTAATTAGGATGATGGAGGCATAGGATTAGCCCTTGACCAAATTGATTGTCCTGGTGTCATACCCCTAGTCAGCCCCTTTGAGTCGTGTAACTTTCCTTCTTTCGGTCTACAATAAAAAAGCACCCTTTTTGCACCTCCTAGATGTTCCACTGAGTGGTTTTTGCATATTCTTTGCTGTTTCTGCTAGAAATAATATATGAGGGTTGGAAGTAGTTAATAAAAGTTGGGCAGGTGTTTGAAAAAATGTGCAAAGGTGGTGGTTCTCTCAAGAAATGAAAAAAAAGAAAAAAAATAATTGAAAGCAAAGAGAGGCCCATAAAAATCTGAATCATGTTCATTAAGTAGTGTTTCTTAGCGGTCTGGCTTAGAAATACTAGCATCATTTTGACCTCCTTCACTCTTGTGCTCTAAAGAACTTGCTTAATGCAGAATGACAGAAAGAAAGTAAATGATTTGAATGATTGTAACTATGTTGGTTTTGGAACTGTGGAATCTTGTGTTATGAATTCTTTCACCACCTAAAAGCCATTTTCCCCATGTCGAAGACCCTAACCAGTCATCTGAACCCGTGTCTAAGACCTCCTGACTAGTTAGTGGTGACAGTAGATATGTGAACTCTAGCATTTAGAGGTTGCCATCATGGTGAAGAGACGTTAGGATTGAGAGAATAAGCATGCACATTTTTCGCATCAAATTGTCCTGACCCCACTGGTCGAGAGTGAGCGATTCATTTCCTTATATTCTTTACATTCTTTACCCCGGTGAGGACCAAGATTGCTTAGTCTTGATTATGATGTCTTGAGTTTTATGCATGAGGTGACTGACTTAAATAAGTGGTTAGGTCAAGTCTAGGTTGGTTGGTGAACAGAAGGGATACTCTCCCTTCACCCGGTTTTGCTGCACTCGAATGTCATCTATGGTGGTTGTCTAGGTTATCGTTGAGATTGTTCATGAGTTGATGTCTAAAACCCAGTGTGATTCGCGTGTTTTGTGTCTATATGATATATCCCCAAGTTTGCATGATTAAATTGTTTTGAGCTTACCTTATATTTGAATTGGTTTTCTTGGGGACAAGCAAACGCTTAAGTATGGGGAAATTCGATAACGTCATATTTGCACATGTTTGCACCCTTAGTGGAGCTTTGTACTGAATCTGGTTCCAGTAGTGGAGTTTTGTGTTAATTGCCTTAGCTTTCTGTCCCGGTGAAGACCAGTTGTCTGCCGGTTAGTCTATCTAAGAGGGCTTGGTTAGCTTAAGAGATTCCAAGCTATTGTCGGATCTTCCGCAGTTTAATCAACAGTAAATCAACCTAAGGAAATTACAACTTGGACCTAACAAAGGAGCTAGGGGGACTCATTCCCGAGTGACTCTTCTCTTGCTTCAGGAAAACCTGACAATTGACTGCTTTCTTTCTGCTTTAGTTTAAACTCCTTTTCACTAAAATTTCCCGCTAGATAATAGATAGTCACGGAGTAGGCAGTACATCTAGGCCGTGGGTTGACATTTATTACTTGATTCCACTATACTGCATTTCTATTATGCGATTACACTTGATCGTAGTTTGATGTTGTGTCGTAGCGTGTCAAAAATCATAACACCAAATTGGAGTCCGGAAATTTTGAACCCGAACTCAACGCCATATCCGATATTGTGGCCTAGAGTGTTGCTTCTAGTTGCTTCCTGCTCCTTTCCTTCCAATGCAGACCAAAGATCGCAACAGCCAGCGGAGAGGTGGTGGCGAGGAAGAAGGCAGCATCGTTGTTGTTGTAGTCTTCATCAACAACCACCGTCATCTTGACTCCTGCAATTGCCGCCACAATCCCTCCTCCAATCGCTGCCGCAATCCCTTTTCGCTTGAGATTATATTTTTAGGGATTGTTTATCCCGTGCACCCGCAGCTACCGTCAAGCTCGCCACCACCAATAGAGATGGAAATGGGTCGGGGCGGGGCGGGAATCTCAATACCCATGCCCCGCCCCACGCTAGTACGGGTCGGGGCCGGAAATACCTGCGAGGGTACGGGGCGGGACGGGTCGACCCACTCTTACATGCTATTTGAGAAAAATACACGTACAATTTTACTTTTTATGATAAAACGAAGGGGGGAAAACTTGATGAATGAATAATAGTGATAATATAATTAGTAATTGAGTCTATTTAGTTGAAAGATCAAGTCTAACTAGTTGAATAAAAGCCTAAATAGGAGATATATGAATGGATGGGGTAAAATATTGACCTAGAATGGGCTAAGAGTGGGGCGGGGCGGGGCAGGGCGGGTCGGAAGTTGATACCCAAGCCCCGCCCCACGCTAATGCGGGTTGGGTAATACCCGACCCATCGCGGGCCAGGTCGGGTATTACCCGGCGGGGCAGGTTCAAATTGCCATCCCTAACCACCAATCAAAATCAAAAAGTTTGGCATCTCCATCATTTGAGAAAGATGGATCGGTATAGGAGGGTGGAACAGTTGTGATGGGGAAGAAGGAGAGGGCGCATTGTTGCGGTGCCAGACTAGCGATGGAAGGGGGAAATATCGGAGGAAGATGGAGGGTCATTTGCGGCAAAAGAATAGGGATTTTCTCAAAAGTTATACTATATTTTATTTTCATGTTTTAATTTTCAAATTACGTGGATGAGTCTAGTCGACCACAAATGCTTAGTCACTAACGGAAAAATGGTTGACCGTCAATTACGATCAAACCGTCTCTCGAGCCATTTCTGTCCAATAATTTCAAAAGTAGGCCATAAATGTCTTATTTGAAAAATGGGGTCAGAATTGATACGTGCGTCAAAGTAGAGTATTAACCCTAAATGTAAAATCTACCAAAAGAGACATGAGAATAATATATATGCATTTGCCACACAAAAAGATAAGTGTAGGGCAAACCTAATGTGAGAGATATCATTTTATTCCACAAAAATAGAATTTGGATGAGATACCAATTGAGAGCTAGTTTGCACCCGCTAGAGGTTGGTTTGGTAAAATTTCTACCTGTTGTAGAATGCGATTGTTCGGAGCTTATCTTGTGGCCTTTAGCAAGTAGTTTTTGCAGGTGATGCGAAAGTTGTGTTGCACAAAGTGGTGGATGGTGATTGTCAGGATGTCCATGACGGGGAGATTTTCGAAGAAACCTAATTGTTATTGCAATGCTTTCATTTTGTTAGTATTCGATTTGTTGGTCAACTGCAAAATAGGACGGTCCATTTGGTGGCGAAAAAAGCCCTTTCATTTTCCCTAGCTTGGTAGGGTTCAATTTATATTCTTGTATGCATTCATCTATATGACTCTAGTGTACCTCTTTGACCTCGATAATACGAGTTATCTTTTTTTTTTTTTGGTGGGGGGGGGGAGGGAGAATGGATTGTCAATTTGAGAATGTGTTTTTGAGGCACATATAGAACTTCGGACACCCCTCAATTTATTGACCCTCCCTTGAAATTCTAAATACTGAGCTTTCTAAATTGTTGTTGGAAGAAGAGCTGTTCTGGAGCCAATGCTTTAAAATGAAATAAATGGTTACTTGCTGGAGATAAAAATACTTCTTTCTTCCACTCTGGCTCCATATATGGGAACCTTAGGAACAATATCATTCGGTTGACAAATGATGCTTGCAGTTGGGTTGAGAATGAATATAGATTGTAGCCTCAAGTTGATGACGTATTCAAGGAATTTATTAATTCTAGAGAACTAATCCATTTCTCTCATATGATAAAGACTAAAGGCTGAAGTTGATGACTAGAACAATAAACAAGGACCTCTTTGATAGGGGTGACAATCGGTCAGTTGGTAAACGGTATACCGAGTGTGGGCAAGAGGGAATCGATTACTGGTAAACGGTTACAAACCAGTTTTACCGACTTACCGTAAGGAGTAGATGCAGACGGTTTTTTCGGTTCGGTTTATCGGAAAATTACCGAACCGAATTTCTGGGCAGTGGGGGGAGTTTGTGATATTTTGATTTTTCTAAGTTTTTTCTTCATATTTATAATTAATAATTTATTATTAACTCTTATTTATAATATTTTTGAGGCCTATACTTACTTACCACTACGGGAAAAAGGGTTTCTTGCAACACTCGGATTGCAACACTATTTGAAACTGTTGCGTTAACTATACAATGGCAACACTTTTTTATGTGGTTGCCTATTAAGTAGTTTATGCAACCCAAATTAGTAGTTTGAAAACATATGTTGCATTTGCTCTATTATACGCAACACATAAATCACAAGGGTTGCGTATGAGTACAGTTTACCCAACATTTTACCAAATTGTGTTGCAAAAAATAATCATTTTAATATATAATTAATAAAATAATATATTAAAGAATGAAAAAGAGATGAAACCAAATTTCAACTCTATCGTGTAAAAACATTGGAAAGGAGAAGATATGCCGTGATTTTAGTTGCACCAAATTTTATCTCTTATTTACTTAACAAATTAATAAGTTTCCTTCTCAAATTAAAACTCTAGCACATCCCTTTATATTCTACTATTACACATCCCTTCCCCTTTCTACGCCACTAAGGCAGAAAGTACCAATCAATATAAAAAACCCTTTGCTTTTCACTCTAGTTCTACCACTACTGTCGTAGACTCGTAGTTGTTTCCTTCATTCCAATTGCATCCTGCAATTTCTTTCGAATTGTTAAAATCCTCTGCCTCTACCATTATCAAAAAATATCAATAGACCTCTAATGCTTTTCTCTCTTACATTTACAGCTGACTGTCGGTCTCCGTCTCTCCGAGTACTGCCGAGTAACCTATAAGCTCGTCTCCAAGATGCTACACATCTCTTGCGAGAGTTTTGGAGTATGGTGCTTACCCCGTTAATTTATAGCTTCTTGTATATTTATACATACGATTAGATTGATTCAATACTTACACCCTTATTTTTGTATTTTGACAGCAATGCCCACCCGTGCTTACACCATATACAAAAAAGAGCAACAAAAGACAGTCGAATAACTATGAGTTAGATGAGACACACTCGCAATCTGAATCTCCTTAATGATGAATATGATATCGGATTAGACCCAAGTTGAAAATTTTTGAAACTATGCTAAAAAGGATAATTATTGTAAATCAATTATGCGGCCAAGCATGTAATTATTTGTGACAACTAGACATCGAAAAGTGTATTTGTGTCAGAAATATTACCACAATTGACATTATTTGTGACAACTATACATGTCACTGCTGTGGTTTTCGTGTCAACTCTAACTCGTCACAGAAGTATCTTTTATTGACGATAACATTGTCATGCGCTTGTTACTATTTGTTACGAAAAAATTGTCATAATTGGTAATTCATTTATGACAATTTGGAATTGTCACAAATTAAATTAAAATGTTGCAAAAACGTTAAAAAAAACCGTCGCCCATTTTTCGAAAACGTGTTGCAAAAATTGTGAAATGTGTTGCCTAAAGAGGTGTTGCGTAAGAGGTAAGGATACGCAACCCTTTATATTTGGGTTACGAAAAATGAAAAAACAGTTGCTTATTCCTTTTGCAATCCCCACTATATGCGACCATACCAAAAGTGTTGCGGTAAGATTTTGCAACCCTTTTAAGACATAATGCAACACATTTGTGAGAGTTGCAAGAGGCCATTTTTCCCGTAGTGCTTCCATTCATGTATGTAATATTTGTGAATAATGAAATATATGTTATATAATGCCTTAACTTAATATTTGGCAAACTCAAAGTTGCTATCTATTAATCTATTTAATTTAACATAAGTTCAAAGGGTCAACAATCATGATTCATGAATCAACATCAACTCTCAGCAAGCATCATCATTCATCAAATATTCAAATTCATCAAACGAAAATTCGACAAACATCGTCAAATTCAAAGGGACAACAAGTTAACAATCAACATAAATACATAATAGTCATTCGTCAATTGACTAAAGTGTCCAATGACAATGTCTAAATTCAACACAAGTTCAAAGTCCAAACTTAAAAATTAAAATAGACAACCAAATAACCAATAGCTCATGCTCCTCCTTATCCGGTAGAACTTGTAGCACCACCAACATTTGCACAGCCTTGCTGCTTCAAAGTCCTGAGAAGAGTATCATCGGGATCATCATCGGCATCTTGGTTCATGTCTTTGTCGGTCTCGGTGGATTCTTCATCATCACCCTCCTCCTCCTCCTCATCAACCCTAACAGGTAAGATATGTGCTCCACTTGGGATGTCACTTGCAGTTTCCACTCGAGATTGGAAAGTATTAGTAACTAGTGCAAATAAAATACACAAATGTTAGTATGTTACTAATGGAATGGTTTAAAATTTAAATAGTAAAGAGTATAGACAATTAGAATAATAAATTGAATTCTTACCACTTTCATAATCGATTGTCTCTTGATCTTCTTCCTTATCATTCACTTCATCTGCAGTATTTACACTTTCATATCTCATCCAATCTTCAGCACAAATCAATGTCTATACAATGTTTGGGCTCAAAGAAGACCTGAAAGGACTAAGAACTCGACCTCCACAACTGAAAGCGGACTCCGATGCAACAGAGGAGTCTGGAACTGCTAATATATCCCTAACCATCTCTGAAAGAATGGGATATCTAACACTATTCCAAGCCCACCACTTCAGAATGTCAAACTTCCAATCATCAATCTCCTCATTAATAGCATCACCAACATCTCTCAAATAGGACTCCAACTCACCAGAACCTCTACCCCCTCTCAATTTGCTCCTTTCTCTTTTGTTGGAACCGAGCTTCAAATGCTCCTCCCATAGCAACAACAGAACCGTCACTAGTCTCAATAGGAGTAGTAGTCTGGGTAGTAGGCACAAAATTAGAGGGTGGATTTGCATACTTCATCTTGTAGGCCTTGTACAATGAAATCATCTCCTTGTTTACTTCATCTGCCAAAGCTCCCCCTTTTGAGATCCCATACATTTCTTCCAACATCATAGTCAAATAGTCTAGGTTACGCCTGGGATCTAGCACACAGGCCATGTAAACTATCATATTTATCCTAAGGTTATCCTCCTTGTCATCAACATCATTCTCAAACCAATACTTGCTCACATTTGCCTCTATTCTTTTTGCTATTCTTTGTATTTGTCCATCTGCATCTTTCTTCAATGTTGCTATCACTTCATGAATATCAACAATGGCTTTGCAGAAAGTATGTGCAGTGACATATGATGTTCTTGATACAAAGTAAAATTTACCGAACATTAGTATAAATAATATGACTCATAATCATTCAATTTAATTTTAAAATTTGATAGTTATCACTTCATATACCTGATACACGAAGAGTAAACTCATAAAAGAACTTCAGGTACTTCATGAGCCGCCTAATACTACTCCAATCATCTTCAGTTGGAAGACCCTTCTTGGAATCCACATAGTCTCGAAAGGAAGAATCGGTAGGACTAGCATACATGAACTTAAAAACCTGCTCAAACCTCTATGCAGAATCCAACATTAGATAGGTGGAATTCCACCTAGTCGGAACATCCAAAGACAACAGTCTTTTCCCATCCATATCTAGATAACTGAGGCCTTTCTTGAACTTTGCACTCCGAGCTGGGGATGACTACACCCATTTCACACAATCCCTTACCCTCTCCACAACAACTCCAACCTCCTTCAATCCATCAGAAACAACCAGATTGATGATATGTGCCAGACATCTATACTGCAAATACTTCCCATCTAGCAAATCCGTTCCCCACCCCTTAATTTTTGTTCTCATGCACTCAACAAGAACATCATTGGAACTGGCATTATCCATTGTCATGCAAAACAAACTCTTCACTTTCCATTCTTGTAGACACTTCTCCAAAGTATATGTAATATCCTTTCCCGTGTGACTAGTAATGGGAACAAAGCAAATAATCCTCTTCTGCAACTTCCAATGATCTCCAATAAAATGTCCAGTCACACACATAAAATTTTGGTTGTTATCACTAGTCCATGTATCTGTAGTGATAGATATTCTTCTTTTGCATTTTGAGTTAAAAAAAACTCAATCAATATTTCCTTTCTTCTCCAGAAAAAGGCAAAATACACTTTCATAGCCATAATTATTCGCGTTGTGACAAAAATAGCCAAATTTTGAAAAATACACTCATATAGCCACTTCTGAAAACTTGCTTGATAACTTTAGCTATTTCCGTTACAAAAATTTAACACTGTTAACTCTTCAATGATGTGGACGTACACATCTTCTAATGTATGCCACGTGTCAGCCACCTCAAATTAAATCATTATTTTAAATAATTTCCTTAATTATTATTATTTTCACTACAATTCTCTCTTTTCAAAAAATAAATCCCATTTTCTCTCTCTCTCCCTTATCTCTTTTCCCTCTCTTCTTCTCTATCACATAGCAAGAAAATTTTGACGAAGAAGAAAGAAGATGGTAGAATGTGACTCTCGGGAAGGATGCGAACCCTTATGATGGAGCTTGAGGGATATGCCACGGACGGGACACTTCTGGATATGCTTCTTCAGGTGGGTGGAGAAGCCGATGATCTTGTTGCGGAGGCGCTTGGACCCTTTTTTGCCGCCGACGAGAGAGGGAGGAGAAGAGAGCTTACCCTAACTGTGAATTTTAGGCCGCCGGTTGGGAGAGTGAAGAGGAAACTGCTGCTGGGAAGAAGTCAAGACATTTGAATTTGGGTCCGGATCTGGTGCAGAAGGAAGAAGTTTGGGAAGATGGGTTTTGGCGGCGAAATCGTGTTTCTTTTCTGCGGAATGAGTTTCTGCTCTATGGGTTTCAAGGAATCAAGTTTTGGCGGTGGTGGGTGGTTGAGAAGACGATGCGATCCCCTCTGTTTTGCGGTGGCGGGCACGATTAGGGTGGCGGTGGAGAAGTCGAAAGGAATGGATAAATCACGGAGCTTCGCGATAATGGCAGCGTCGGAAGAGATTGTTGGAGTTGGCGACCTTGACTCCTCAGCTGCTGGTGACTCCGTGACCTCCTCCCTAGATCCAAGGAAAACTTCCCCGGTGGCGAGATCTGGATGGTCGACGTCCACGGATCGACGACCTTCTTCAGCTCTGGACCACCACCGTCACCGCTCTTCTCCTTCTCCGATGGGTCGTTGAAAATGCATTTTCTTGTTTGTTGGGCTAAGGGGAATGAGCTATTGGGTGTCGCCGTCGATTTGGAGTGATGGTGGAGGGGTTTTACTAAGAAGTGGAACAAAATACTCTGGGTCTCCTGGGTAGATGGAAAGAAGGGGAAAAGAAGATGAAGAAGGCGTGTCCCGGTGTCCATTTTTATTTATTTTTACTTTTACTTTTTAATGCAATTATAATAATAACTAAAATTTCCACTTAGGATTGGTTTAAACAAAATATCGCCACGTCACTAGAAAACGTTAGTACAATCAACATTTATGATGTTGCTGTTAAAGTTTTGGACGGAATGGCTATGGCTATAAAAGTGTATTTTGCCCCAGAAAATGACATAACAATCAGATCTTATTGTTTGCCTTCCATGTATCACAAACAAAGGCTGAGTTGTTGCCATAAATCTCCTAAACCGCTCCCGCTCAACAAATCGAAATGGAAGCTCATCCAAGATTATCATTATAGCTAATGCATGTCTAGATTTGTTCTTGATACGATCGAGGAATCGATCAAATTCCATCCAGGATTAATTGTCAAAGTAAGTCGAATTGAAAAGAAGAAGTTGAAAATTGTCCAAGTATTTTTCGTGTGTTAGGAAGCCGACTTTGGAGGCTTGGTTCTCTCAATTTGCCCGATGAAAATTCGTGTTTGATAGCTTGTTTTGAAGATAAGAACTTTATCTACACATTGGTATTCTTGGTTTCTCAAGGAGAAGTCTAGAAGGTCATTTTCCAAACGTGTAAAGATGCTATCTGGAAAGCTGAAAACTTCTAGAAAATGGCCAAGTCTGGAAACTGTTTTGTGAAGCCGACTTTGGAGCTTAATTCGAGGAGTATGGATCTGATTCAAGTCCAAAGGCTTCCACAACATGAAACTAGGTATGTTTGTGTACAAAGGGAAATAATTGGATGAAAGTTCGAAGTTTGGAAGCCTCGAACGAAAGGCGTAAAGTTAGTACAAAAGCTGCTTTTGGACCGTTTGCTCGCAACTTGCTTGTGCTTCAAGAAAAGGATTTTCAATCTGAATTTTGAGTCCTTATTAGAATAGAACTTTACCTTAATTTGTTTCATTGTTCATTTAGGTTTGTATTAGGTTTTCTTGGCTATAAATAGCCTTCTATTTTCGTTGTAAAAACGTAGACTTTGATTGATCGAAAAACAAACCCTTTGGTTTTGTCAAAGTGCGACTTGTTTGAGTTTGGTGAATTCCAAGCTTGTGAGCTTTGTATCGATTGAATATCCTCTTCAATCGTGGTCGAGCAACTACCCTTTTATACCTTACGAGCTTTCCCTAGGTGTGGAATTGTCCGTTGGTTCCGTTTTATCCCAATTTCGTATTAAGAACGAATTGTTCTTGATTCGAGTTCAATCAATCTTTGGATTGATTGTTTGCTGCGTTAATTTGATAAAAGACACCCCCCAGGGTCGTATTAAGTCGTATAAGAGCCCCGTTCTACACAAGGGCGAAGGAGAAGAAGAATCTGCTGTTTCGTACAAGCAGAATTCGATACAAAAACAGGGCAGTCCCTGTACGAGCAGTTCTAGCTTATGTTTCATGTGAATTGCGATGGACAACTCCGTTGGAGCGAAGGAGCTGATAGAGGACAGTTCCAAGGAGCAGCGGGCACGAGTTCTAGGAAAAGAAAAGCTTCCAGCAATTGTCATCAAGCATAGAGAGTCTGACGAACAGCGGGACAATTAGTTTCACAGTCGATGATTCGTCGAAGGCAAATTAATTTTGCTCGTGATCAACAGAGGGTGTTGTGCGAACATCATCAGCCTAGATGTCGTCCGAAAGCTTGGATTGATGATGCAAAGGCATCCTGAGCCTTACCAACTCACCTGGATCAACGAAGATGGTACAATCAATGTAATGAAACAAGCTTTGGTTTGTTTTAAACTCGGCAGCTACGAAGACGAGGTAGTTTGTGACGTTGTGCCGATGAATCATGTTCATCTAATACTTGGAAGACCTTGGCAATTCGATCGCGAAGTTGCCCATGATGGTCGAACCAATCGATACACAATCAAGGTACTTTTAGAGGCAGATATTGCATTTGTCTCGATACTTTAATCGTTATAGCCTATCTTTCTTGTAGTGCATCTCAAGTTTCTCGACAATCCAATAGCGACGAACATGTGCATTGTGGGAGGAGGATCTTGAACGATGAATAGTTTGATCCAAGATTCCAATACCATGAATGTACGAAGCCATTTCCGGAATTAAGTAGAAACATTCCTTTCGTCGTCCAGACCTCTCTATTTTCAGCAACGAATTCGATCAATTGGCGGGCTGGTCGCCTTTGCATCTAGCTTTTTTTGGCATTAGGTAAAGAAAAAGAAATTAATTTGCCCAAGGGAGGTAAGTAGTCCCTCTTTTAAATTGTCATGTATGTTTTCGGAGTGGTACTCCCTTTGCAATATACGCTTCTCTTTACAAATACATAATTTGGTGGAATAAGCGTATACAAAATTATCCATGCAATTATAGGTTTAACAACTATATAAACGAAATGAAAAAAGTTTATTGATCCGTATACTCTCGAAACTCAGGCTTATTAAAGAAGCACCCTAATATTATACAAGTGGTAATATATGTTTATTCATAAAAGAATAAGTGATAATATATATTCCATGCAAATGTCGATTTTTTCTATTTTTATGTTCATGGAAGCTTATCAACCATTACAAGTGAAGTGGGCAATAGTTGTGGCGCGGAGTCAGAAATTTTGAACAAAGTGGAGTTAAAATTTTACGATTAAGTAATTTGAATAAGGGAGGATGGTTAAAGTTTTTACTACATACTCTAATTTTTAGATTTGTTATGACATTTAAACATAAATTTACACATTTTTAAAAGTTGAGAGACTATAACCCCTCTTATCAATAACATAATAGAGACACATTATACAAACCAAAGTATGGATATGCTCATAATCAAACATGATTAGTCCCTACATATATCCCGTCTTATCAATAACGTAGCTCCCCGCCACTGGTAATAGAGAGACACGTTATACAAACCAAGGTACGGATGCTCATAACCAAGGGGTCGGTTAGCATGCTAACCCCCTTAGGGTTGGAAAAATGACACCCCCCAGTATATTAAATACAACTATAGAATTTAATACACACATTAAATACACATTAGGAATTAAATGTACCATATTAATTAGGAATTCTCTCACTATTAAATACACATTAGGAATTTAATACACACATTAAATACACATTAGGAATTCTCTCACAATATTTGATTTTTCCTTTTTCAGCAGTCTCCGACCACCAGACTTCCTCCGACCGCCACACTTCTCCGGTGAAAATCCCATCGGCAGACTCCCTCCGACCACCTCCAATAAATATACCACTGCACTGATACGGTGTATCACTGTACTGGTAGATATACCACTGCACTGATACGTTGTACCACTGTACTGGTAGATATACCACTGCACTGGTAGCGATATCAGTGCACTGGTAGTAATGTCATATCTGAGTATCAGTGCAGTGGTACAAATACCAGTAAAGTGGTAATTAATGTGGTGTATTTAATGCTTACTTTGTATTTAATAACAGAACATTTATTATGTTTACTTTCATTAATACTTGTCAATAATTAATGAAAAATTGACCAATTAAAAGGGGTGTCAAAAAACCAACCCCTTAAGGGGTTAGCATGCTAACCCGTCCCCATAACCAACAATAATTTGTCCCCAGGGAGACAAATTTAGAGAATCATAGAAAGCAACGCAAAGTTAAAAACTAATTAATAATAAGCTACCCAGAAACGCCAACTCATGCATGAAGACAACCCACCACCAACATCATCAATCTAGTGACACTACAAGAAAATTTACTATTAACGACTAACTGTATTTGCCACGATAAGTGCTTTATGTGTCTCGATAGCCTTGTAGCGGCACATAAATGTATTCTGCCAATACCGCTGCCGCTAAATCTCTTTAACGACAAATGTTAGCGACACATTATCTGCTACAAATCTTAGAATTAGCGACATATATTTTTTTCTTTCAATTTCACTTTTGAATGATTATTTTATTGTCTTTTTTTCTCAAATTGGAGACATTAGAACTTGACACTAATTGTATTTTTAGGGGCATGTATGTTTGCCGGCAATATTAAGTTTTAGTATAATATAAATACCTTTATATATATTTTTCCATTTCGTTTATTTTTTCTTTCTTTCTCATATACTGATATACATAATTTTATCAAAATGGATTTTATATTTTTGCGGCAAGGTAAGATCAATCGCTGGAAGTTTTGGGGGTTTGCAAGGAGGCTCATATGAACAGCAAGCATCCATGTCTCAGCGAGCAAGCCTCTGAAAAATTACTGTCAACTCCGGTTTTGGCCCTCTCTTCGGTATTACGTTCACTGCAATAATCCATCGCTGATAATCCGGAGAAACGAAATGCAATAAAAGAAACAATAAAATCAGAGCAAAGCAGTTTCGAGAAAAGCCCTGTGTTTGGATCTTTAGAGCAGCCATTGCTTATTCTGACAAGTCACGCTGCGCTTGTTCTCCCAGCCAATGCATATATACATCTCCACTGCGTTATTATTTTGCTAAAAGATAAGTGAGCTCAGCATAGAGAAATAGAGAACGTTGTCGCACAAAGTGGATGTGTATGACTATTGAGAAATCTTTTTTATCAGTTAGTAATTAGTTATTTTTCTTTTTTCAGAAATTGCTATATTTATTTTTGTAATAAAATATAATATTTTTTTAATTTCCGTTGAACAGATATATTTGTTGGGAATAAGATACATTAAAAACCCACATATTTTATGTGTCGCACAAAGTTAATAAGATATAATTAAATATATTGTAAAACTAATGGTGGCTTTAATTTTGGTTTGCTAAACTAATGATTTTCCAACAAATAATTGTTTGTCTCTATAAGTATATTAGCTAAAATTTTAGAAGACAATTGAAGCATCTTTGCCTCTAAAAGTAAAAGGTTTATTTAATATAATTTGTTTATAAAATTACATAATATTATTAGAGGCACATAATAATATTTATAGAGGCAAATTGAATATTTGTTGCTTATAAGTACTTTTAGCAACATATATTACATTTGCCTCAATAATTTAGCTGCTAAAGAGTGATTTTCTTGTAGTGAAGCGAGCCATCAGCAACCTCGGCGACGGAACTGGCAGCACCCCGACGACGGCGATGGCGACGGCGAAGAGCAAAGAAGAGAACCAGAGAAGCGGAAATATAAATCATACAAGCTATCGCCACCATGCAGACTTCGCTGACCCACTGCGGCTCTTGTATGGCGGCGAACTGCGGCCCCGCCGACTCATCATCTTTATCGAAATCAGAATGAAGTTGAGTGCAGACGTCGATGCATCTATCCATGCACGTCCAGGATCTCCACCGAGGCTTGCAGTGGTTGTCGAAGCAATCCTCGTAACATGTCTGTAAGGCGGCGCCGTTGTCGCCATTTGATCCCAAAACGACGACTTGCGGGCGTTGCCCTAATATCGCCGTCGCCGTCACCAGCCACACCAAGTACATGAAAGTTGGCTTCATTTTCTGTTCTAGAGAGAGTGTTGAAAGTATAGGTACCATAATATAATTTGAATCTAGGATTTGTGATAGCAAACTACATATAGTTCGGTGTATCCTGTAACATGAACTTACGAAAAATAAAACAAAAAACCTGAGAGGGAGATCCTCTCCGTGGACTAGTGTCATATTGACTAAACCACGTTAAGAAAATTTGTGTTCATCAATTCTTCTTTTTTGATTTGCTATTCTTGACATGGTATCAGAGCCTGCGATCTAAGACCTCTCTTCTTGGTCGTATTTTGTCAGGACTTTGCTCTAGCCTGATGCGTGTGTTGACACCTAAAATTAATTTGGCCTAAATTCAATACCTCAATTATTAGTCTCGACATTTAATTCGATACTGCATGGCAAAAACGGTATCGTTTGGAGACAAGCAACGCCGCAGCGAGATCCAACGGTGTCGCTCAGCTAGAAAACGACACTGCAAGGAAACTCAGCGGTACCGCGACACTTGAAACATTGTTTACTAGAGAACAATTATTGTGAGACATGGGCCGCAAGATTGGCGTTGTTGTTGGAAAAGAAGAGTGTTTTTTATTACTTATCGGCGAAGGAGAGAGAAACGACACCGCGTAGAGACAAGCGGCATCGCGGATGGGTAAAACGATACCGCAAAACAAAAAACTGTACCGCAAGGAAACGACACGGTTTACCGGAAAATAAGAGGTGGGCCGCACGTTTAGTAGTGGTGTTGGAAAAGGAGTTTTTTAATTAATTATTATTTTTATTCTTTGACGGAAGGGGAGAAGCGATACCGCATGGAGATAAGCGGCATCGCGGAGAATTAAGAACGGTACCGCGAGTAAGCCCAACGGTACCGCTGTACTAGCAAACGACAGTGTTTTTTAATAAAAAACAATGTCGCAAAAGGAAAAGCAAACGAAGCCGTTTTGGGGAAGGAAACGGTACCGCTGTATTGCGTGATTATCACGCAACGAGGAGGAAGTTACCCGCACAGTTGACAGGAATGAAGACGTGGGAGACAAAGGCGCGAAGGCAGTTACTACGACTACGGGCAGAAGATTGCGGTATAAACATCTGGAAGAGAGAGAAGCTCAAGAGGGCAAAATCAAATCTCAAACTGCACGGTCACAGAATCTATCTTTTTTCTCTCTAGTTCGTAGAACTGCTCTGTCACAGAATCTATCTTTTTTCTCTCTGGTTCGTAGAACTGCTCTGTCAAAGACTTCCTTTGCAGAGTCGTAGTCGTAGCTTGTAGTCGTAGTCGCGGAGCTCTCCAGAGGAACCTCCATAGGAGTAGAGGTAACGTAACTTAGAACACTCCCGGTTTGGTTTCTCGTTTCTCGTTGAACACCCTCGTTCGAACGTAGTTTGGAGTGGTGATGAACCGAGTAACGGTTGTTATGGTTAGAAGTCAAAGGTGCATCGATCAAATCAACGTCGCCGACGCCGGCGGTGGATATATGACGATCCTCTTGGTTTCTGTTTAATCGATCAAATCAACGGCACCGACATTTGGCGGCTGATATTTGACGATTGTGTTGACTTTGTGTTTGTGTTTACTTGAAAATAGTTAGCATTGAACACGCGAGTTTCGCCAATGAAACAATTTGGCAATGCCCAGTGGGACACGTGTGTTCGAATGGCTCCGCGACGAAGGAATTAAGAAGGGGATTTTCCGCCCGGATTCATGGAGGAACATGTGGCCAACATTGAAGGAGGCCAAGGAATCAGTGCTGAAGACATCGGCGGGTCTGAGAATCCGCCGTCCACAGCTGGGTCGACTGAGGATTTGTCAATCCGTCATTTCATGGAGGAGAACCGTCGCATGTTTGCTAGCCTCAACAATAAGTTCGCAGGCTTCAAAGGAGAGTTTGCAAGCTTCAAAGGCGAGGTAAATCAACGTTTTGACACTTTAACTGCACGACATGATTCTCTTGAGTCTCGTGTTGATTGGCATTTAAGCCAACTCTTTGAAGTTGTGACTAAAAACAAGCATGATTTTGATGTTTTTGTGGATAAAAATCTACGTGATATGAATGAAATCAGGGAGCTTTTGGGTAGACCAGTAATGCAACCTAGGGATTTGCCGCTAAACGGTGAAAACAATTTAAATAGTGAAACAAGTTTTCCAAACAAAAGTGCTAGAATTAGTCCGCCAAGACAAGGAGTTCCGCCGACACCGGTGATGAACCCACCAACTCCGCGAGTTAATCTTGGCGAGACTAACACTGCCACTAACACTCAGGTTGAACCACCACCGTTTCACGGTGGGGGTCCACAAAATATCCCGGAGGCAAGACCCTACGTGGCTCCGATGAGCGGTGCTGTTGGTGGAGGAACGATCAACAATGATCATGTTCCGCCACGCGGCTACCCGCAAAATGTGCCTCCTCCAAACGGGCTTGGCATGAATCCTGGTGGATTCGTACCACAAGGGGGGCAACTCGGGGGTCAAGACATTAATGTGATTCGAGATCAGGTAGCACAGATGCTGGCGTATCAGTTTGGTTTAGGGATTAGACCAGTGGTGCCGCCGGTACACCGAAAACCATATCCAGATTGGGTTGATAGATACTATCCCTTTCCACGTGGTTTTCGCGTGCCTGATTTCATCACCTTCAGCGGGACTAGAGATCAGTCCACCGTCGAGCACGTTGGAGATTCACGGTTCAGTGTGGTGATGTAAGCGATTTTTTAAAATTGCGTTTGTTTGGCAATTCGTTGACCGGTCCCGCATTCGCGTGGTACGTCAACTTGCCATCGAACTCGGTTCAAACTTGGCAGCAAATGGAAGAAATGTTCCATGCCCAATTCTATCGTTCTGAGCCAGAAGTAACAATGGCAGACTTGGCACGAATGAGCCAACAGCTAGGAGAAACAGTGGAACACTTTTTAACAAACTTTAAGAATGCAAGAAATCGTTGTTTTGTGAACTTGACAGAACGCGAGTTTGTTAAACTTTCCCAGGGTGGATTGAATTTTGAACTTCGTAAAAAGTTTCAAGATAGGGAGTTTTCTGATCTTTTTCAATTGATGTCATGCGTTGTTAGATACAAATCTCATCTCCATGAAGAAGAACATAAAAGAAGCAGCTCTCGTGGACAGTATTTCCCTAATTTTGAAAACTATGGTGTGAATAACGTCGGCAACGATGTTGACGAGGTTGAATTTGATTTGGCTGAGATTGTGCAGGGGAAGCCATATGTGTGTGCTTATCTAGCCAAGACCGATGGGGAACCACAAACTGGAAAGCCCAAGCGGGCTCCAATTCAAACTAGGAAATATTCCTTTGATGTTTCAAAATCAGAATTGATTTTCGACCAGCTTTACAAAGATGGTCAAATTAAGTTAACTGGGGGGCATACTGTCCCGCCAGCTGAAAAATTCAAAGGGAAACGATACTGTAAATGACACAACAGTGCATCTCATTCAACTAACATGTGTATTGTGTTTCGCAACATTGTGCAGGATGCAATTGAGAAAGGTCGGTACAAGTTCCCAGAGCCGAGGAAGGAGGCCATGATTGTTGACACAAACCCTTTTCCCAAACGTGGTCGACATCAACATGGTCAATCCCGATTTCTCTAAGATCAACCGGCCACGCTTCAAGCTGGTGGTGGATACAACGCCAACGCCGAGTGGTAGTTCTGATGTGGCCCAGGGTGCTTCATCCTCCCAAGTGCAGGAGGGGCCGCGCTTGGATCCAGCTGAGGAAGAGAAGCTGTGTGCCCAGTGTCGCGGAAAGCTAAACATTGGGGGAGCAAGACCGAGCCAGTCGGTCCACCAGAGATTGGGACCACGAAAGTTGAAACCGAGTTACCCCTTGTATGAACGCAATGTCGAGGGAGTACGTGCACCTGCATGGGGAAGAGGGCAGCGTAGGCAGTGGGTTGCTCAAAGTGCCCCACCTTTCAAAAGTCTACCTTTTGGACTTACCCAACCTGTGAGGGGTTCCCCACCCGTTAGGACCTTCAAGATGCCAAATGTGCCACAAGGTGGTTGGCACACCTACGATGTCCGTCGTCAGCAGCCCATCGCAGTTGACAGGATGACAAGGACGCAGTATCGAAGGTACCTCCGCAAGAATGCTCAAGGAAGGAGGATTGCAAACTTTCAAGCGAATGTGAACGTGGACAACTCTTCCGCGGGTCTGAAAGTGACTATGGTCGGTGCTGGAAATTTTTTTGAGTACAAGCTGGACGAAACGATCAGGGAGTCCCGGGAGAGGCTGAGTACGATGCTGAGTTGGATGACTCCTTTATCGAAGAGGAGATGCTGGAATTGGAGGAGCCGAAGTCGAAATTTGATCGAAAATACAAGGATGACGATGATGACAACCAAGGTGCACCCATGACGATCCAGTTTGGAAGTCTACCACCGGTGGTGGTGAACAACTACATCTTGCCTTTGATTTTCCACATTGATTTGGAATATCAGGGAGAGGATGGCGAGGTCGTGATGGAGGTTGAAGAGCTGGACAAGGCTGCTCAAGAGGTCAATGTTGCTGAGCTGGTGAGTGGTTTTGCTCAGCTGACTTTAGAGGAGGAGAATGAGGAGCCAGCGGCCGCAGAGCTGGTTGGCGAGTCTGCGGATCTGCCAATCAAGGCTGAGCCGTGGAGTGCAATGATGGGTCGCACGAATGGTCGAATTGATTTGACAGTAGAGTCAACCCAGCAGAATAAGAGTTCACAGCGGATCCTGAAAGAGCTGTACGAAGTAGGCCACAAGGCTGTTGGGATACTGGGCGAAGATGGGGAAGATATCCTTTTTACGTGTTGTACCAAGGCCCGAAAGAGTCAACAAGTGTGCCAGTGGAGTATATCACATGGAGATCATACTTCGACGAGGTGGATAAATCTATCCGGGCTGCAGAAGCGAAGGGGAAAGCCGTGGACGAAGGAACCACGGGTGAAGAATCGAACAGGGTCATTGTTTTCAACGAGCCCAAGCCGAAGATGTTACATCAAGGCCACACTTGATGACATACCAATGTCGAGAGTCTTAGTTGACAATGGCGTCGCAGTAAATGTGATGCCAACAAGGATGCTGAAGAAGTTGGGCAAGAGTACTAATGACTTGATCTCGACGGAAGTGTTTGTGACAAGCTTCAATGGCGGGTCAACTTCTGCCAGGGAAATCCTCCCAGTCGTCGTGGGAGAAGGATCACATAAGCGGATAAGCGCTTTCTTCGTGGTGGATGGGATGATAAGCTACAACGCACTAATTGGTCGGGAATGGATCCACGCCAACAAGTGCGTTCCTTCATCGCTGCATCAGTGTTTGATGCTCTGGAATGAAAACGGTGTTGTTGAGGTGATACAGGCTGACACAAAGTCGTTTGCCGATGGGGCCAACGTGGCTGAAGCTTATTTGTACCATGGAGATTTTAGACCACTCGAAATGAGGAGCGGGTATGGAGGAACCAACGTCATAATGTCAAGTGCAAGGGTTTTGAGTAAGGCGTGCTTGGACCCATTGTCCGAGATCGTGAGACCATCAATGCTTGCATTAGGTGGTCCACCAAAATCTGAGTAAGCCACCTCAAGAGAGGGTGGCGAAGGCCGAAATCACGGCCTTGCGGGTTGCCGATCAACGGCGAGGATTTGAGTAACGAGGTGGGAGAGGAAGCAGTGGTGCTGTCTGTGACATTGTGAAAGAATTCAGCCTTGGCGCGAAGGAGGAGCCACATTCAACTTTCATAGTGGCAGCTTGCATGAGTCTTACAGGTACGAGTTAATTCTTCTTCTAAATGGCTTCAAAGATTGTTTTACGTGTGAATGTCATGAAATATTGCATGGATATGTTGCAATCATGTTGTTTAGCCAATTTATCGCTTTTTATTTTAGATTCGTCGAGTGACTGATCTACTTAGACGCTATCGGCATTGCATTAACATAATCAAGGCCGTTGGTGTATGGTTGTGTAGGCTAAATGATTTTTTCTTTCTTCTTTTGGCCAGAGTTGTCAAGTATGGCCAACTGAGTTAGCAACAATGTCGACAAAGAAAACGCTTGTTTTTGCCTTTTATTTTTGTTGACAATGGTCTCATAATAAGGAAAGAAGGACCAAACATGGTTGCGTTTACTTAAGCGGCAATGCGAAATTTGTTCACTGCATGACTGTTGTAATTCTTCTCTGTTTCTAGCAATAAGGCCGTTGTGACCTCAACTATGTTTTAAAAAAGGGACTAGGGACCAATTATGGTTCTTCTTTTGAACAATGGTGTTTGCCGCACAACTCTTTCTTTTGGCCGAAATAAATTTTAAATAATAATTAAAAGAAACGTATCGGCCAAGATTTCAGCAAAATATGCAATTAAATATATAATTCTGGTGTGAGAAGCCACATGGTTTTGTGTTTCTGTTTCCTCGTTGGAAAGGAAGAGGTTGGGGTCTTGCAGGTTTGCTAATCTGAAATGCTAATTGTCGTCCTAAATTTACTATTTGACGTCCTAACTTTAATACGCAATTTACCAATTTGCCCAATTTCAAAATTCAAATTAAAGCACAAACAAACAGTCCCTTCTCTCTCACCCCTAACACACAACATTAATGTTCCTCTCTCCTCCCTCAGACCGCCCATCCCCACCCAATCCTCTGAAAGACTGAAACTCCTTTACCTCTCTCCTCCCTCAGCCACGTTCTCTCTGCCCATCCAAAGACTAAAACTCACGCCGCCAACAACTGAAACTCCTTTATCTCACGCCGCCGACCATCTCGACCATAATCGATCTGCTCCTTCCCTGATTCTCCCCGAAGCTCAGCAACCCTCATCGATGCGCCGGCCAAATAATCTCCGTCGCCGGCCATCTCGACCCACCATCGATCCGGTCCTTGCCTGACCGCCGCTCCGCAACCACCCCTACGGCAGCCCTCTGCAACTCCTTTGTCAATCCCAACCGTCGCCGACCATCTCGGACCCACCATCGATCCGGTCCTTCTCTGACCGTCGCTTCCGCAACCGCCCCTGATTCTCACCGCCTCGGGGAGGAAGAAACGTGGGAGGTAAGGGGTGAGAGATAGAGACTCCAACCAAAATCAGGTGCTTGCTCATGGATCTCACTTGATTTTGCGTTTGTGTTTGGGCTTTCAGGCAAGATACGTCGGCCGGAAATCAGCTGCTTGCGTCGGAGAAGAAGATCGTCGGAAGCAGAGGTACGTCCTCCCAACCCCTGTTTAACTGTCGGTCAACCACTTTTTTCTTCTCGTTTGACCTTCCATTCCAACCGTCCCTTTTGCTTTCTTCACCGTCGGCACACCAAGATGGTATCTTCGGGCAACCGTCCTTCCAACCGGTGATTTGTATATGTTAACCCATCCTGCGAACCGGCAATTTTTCCATGTTTCACCGTTCGGCAGAGATACCATGTAGGCCACTTTTGACCGATGGTCAAATCTATTTTTTTCTTTCGTTTTTTCCAGGTAGCAGGCCCATTAGTCCTGCGTTGAGGACAATCCGTTTTTAATATTTAATTTATATTTTTAAGTATTTGTATTTATATAATTAAATTTGTTGTGATGGATTTTAATTTAGTTAATTGTATTTACAATTAAATTGATTCGATAAAAAATTATTTTATTTATTTGAATATTAGTTGAATGTATCTTGTTATAAAAATTTAGGATTTCATTAAATTTAGTTGAGCTTGAGTATGTCGATTAAACTTTATACGCCGTTCTAAAATTTGGTAGAAAATTTTACTTGTATTTAGAGTTGTTGAAATATAGTTAAATTTAGTATTTCATTGAATTTTGTTGAAGTAGGTTATGATATAATTTTATTTTACAAATAAAGGACATAATCCTTTTTTCATAAAATTAAGATTACTATCAATTCAATGAACATGAAATAAAATATTAGTTGAACTTTATACGTAATTAATAAAATGTTTACAAATACGTTTCCAAATCATATTTTAAAATTCTAATAGTAGCATTGTATGTTTTTGAAGATGTCGAGAATTGAAAAATCAGGAACCATTAAGGATCGAATGAAAAACCGAACTTGTAGACCTACGGCAACTGGGCGAAAAGAAAATGAAGATAAAAATCCTCGTAAGAATCGGGCGAGGCAGAAGAAGCTACAAGTAGAGCGTCCTGACGGTCATCCTACTCAAGGGCAGTTGTCTCTTAGTCGGAAAAGTCCCACGCCTACATCTGATCGTGTTGATACTTGGGAGCCGAGGTGGGACCCACGACCCATGATGATACCAGACGATGACTTTCGTCCAGCATCTGCCAAGGACTACAATGTGACATGGTTTCCTGGTTATGATCAGTTTTGGACCATGTGGGAGAGCAATAGGTGGGCATTTGATGCTTTCTTTACACCGTGCGAACGTCCATCTGATGTCGACGAGGGCTTCATGGACTGGTACAGAGCTCACTCCCACCCATTGATCACCAGCCCCAGCGTTACTAGACAGATTCCTCGTGAATTGGTACGTTGTTTTACATTAAGAAACTTTATTAGGCATAAATTCACGATTAAATCATTCTAACATTTGTTTATTATTGTGGATAGATTCCGAGGCAAATTATGCAAAGGCTTTCACCCTTTCTTCGTGAGAGGGATCATGGTCGTTTCATTGAGCGCATGAACGAGTGGTGGGATTTACGTAGTTCATGTGACGAGTTGATTGATCAGTACGATGGAGGAGCACCTCCTACAGGAGACCATTAGGAGTGCATGTGATTTAGCTTATTTGACCATTTTGTTTATGTTACTATCCGTGAGAACATTGATCTATCCTTGTGCGTATTGTATCATGTGTGAGAACATGGAATTGTGCTTTTATTTATTTGACCTTGTGTTTATTGAACTATCTGTGAGAACATTGAAATATGTTTTTATGAGAACATGGAACCATTCTCGTGATATTTCATAACCAAAGAGCATCAAATCATCATTGACGAATGTTGAAAGTTACATGTTCATTACTTCTACTAATTAACCTTTTGGGTTCAAACTATCATAATATCCTCTCTCCTCCAAGAATAATTGATCCCATCCATGCACGGACACATCATGATAGACATTCCAAAGACGGACAAATGGAGGAAATGGTAATCTACCGTCACCGAAGTCAACTCGCACCCAATGATCGCCGGTGAAATGTAATGTCAGAATTCCACGAGGTCTTCTTACCCCCGATGGGGCCGTCAAAGGCAAAATGGTGTACCGACTTCCCTGAGAGAATACAGCAATGACCCATGAATGTAACGTGGCAAAGACCCACAGATCCAAACCATCCATCCAGTTGGATCGCTGACAACCAGTTTCGTGTTTCCAAGTCGCTCGCCGAATTGCTTCTTGTACTCCATAATTTCCAACTTCTTCATAGAACGGTTTGTAAAGCTCTGGGCGAATTTCTAGTTCCGCTAAGAGATCACGTCTCATCTGCCCCCAATTATGTTGAGAACCAGTGACAGCATGTGATATAGCACGATACCCACAATGCCCATCTCCAAGAGGATTGAACCAACCACGAAGAAGGGGTTTGACTACGCTTTCAAAGTTCCAACCATATGGGTAATCCTCCCACTTTCTTTTCTGATTGGCAATCCTAAATGGCGCGCCACCTATACAAATATATTGAGAAAAAATGAGCAAATTGCAAGGTAGGTAACAATTAATAACATAAAGGCACTAAATCAGTTGAGGTTCAGACCTGTATTAACTTCCTCATCATCTTGCCTATGGGACCCAACGCCTTGGGTAGACTTTAAGTTTGGACCTGTATCTTGCCTTTGTGACCTAGTGGGTGCGTCACCTATCCAAATGTATGAGAAAAACATATAAATTCAAGTAACCTAACCATCCATCTAAAAAATGCTAACTCAATTGAGGTTTGGACCTGTATTAACTTCCCCCTCATCTTGTCTTTGAGACCCAACGCCCTGGGTGGGTTGTGAGTTTGGACCTGTATCTTGCCTCTGTGACCCAGTCGGTGCATCACCTATCCAATTGAATTAAAAAACAGATAAATTAAGGCAACCTAACCATCCATCTAAGCATGCTAAATTCAGGCAACCTAACCAGCCATCTAAACATACTAAATTCAGGCAACCTAGGCATCCATCTAAACAATGCTAAGTTATTGGGAACCTGTATTTTCTTCGTTAGTAGACTTTCTCTTCCGAGTTTGGGTGGGTTTTCTTGACTTGCGTTCCTTGGTCACATGCTCGAAGTAAGAAGGGTTTCTTGTGGTAGATGTTTTCCTCGGACGACCGGGCTTGGGATGTGTACCATGAGGTTCATCGATGCCATCATCCTCGGGATAAAGGTGACTTCGTAGCAAGCTAGTGGCTCCTAGAATTGTTGCATCATCTCTACGGAGAACCTCCTCTGCCATCCTCTGGAAAGTCTCGCGATTATAACGGTTGTGGTCTTCCCAAGCTGCACGGTTGGGAGGTTCTCGATAATTCAACGTGAACCAAAAATCAAACACCTCATAAGGGTAGAAGTCTCGATCTTCTTGACGTGCTCTCAACATCATACATCTACATGGGAGACCATGAGTTGTCGGAGACGTACATGGACAAGGTTTTCCTTCCTTTGCTATTTCCCTAAGCATAAACCTCAGTGCAAATAGACTTATGGTTTTTGTTAACTCCCTAAAAGGAATTCCTTGAGCTCGTATCATCTCTTTTTGTCGAGAGTCCTCTAGAAGCTTTCTGATTTCACCATGTTGAGCTTCAATATGCCTGTGGTTAGTCTTATACACCTGTAAGAAAAATGGAGATAAAAAGAACAAGAACGTTAGAGAACCATCAACAAAGACCAACAATGAGAACATTAGATAACTAACCGTGTCTATTGCCCCAGTAGATGATTGAAGCCACTTTTTGAAGGATGAGTGAGCAGATTCAACCCTGTTGGAGCTTGTATTGCCTAAATGTGCCACTTGGTTGGTATAACATTTAGCCCACATTTGTGCATTTGGTAACCACTCAGCTTTGATATAACTCCAAAGTCTTCCATATTCACGACCCCAAGAACGTCTGAAGTTGTCTAAGGCTATATTCATTGCTTCTTCTGTGCGTGATTGTACCACGGGTTTCCAAGAATGCATGACCTGCTCCACAATTAGTTGGGCTCCGGGTATCTCAAGACCTTTCTTCTTCCGCACTTCAACCAAACATCTAGCCCGAATATTCTTGTCTATGTGCCAAAGACATAGTAAATGCCTAGATGATGGAAACATGACACTAACAGTCTCGACCAATCCTCCCGCCTTGTCACTGACTATCGCATGTGGAGTGATAGATCCAAGAATGAATTGCAAGTGCCTCAAAATCCACTCGTAGGAGTCCTTTGTCTCATTGTATACTAAAGCAGATGCAATGACGAAGTTCAGGCCCACCGGTGTCATGCCAACAATCTCAACCCACGGATACTCATACTTATTGGTCTTGTATGTTGCATCTATCACAATGACATGGTGCCAAGCTCGTAACATTTCAATCGAAACAGGATGCGCTAGAAACAAATGGGTAAGCAAGTTACCTTCCTCCATATAATGTACATAATAGTTCTTCTTTCGAGCATCGTGAAAGGTGAACTGCAAGGCTGTCATCTCACCAAGACCATCTTTCCTTATCTTTGCCAAAGCATTGTAAATTTGCTTTTTGGTGTGGTGACCTTCTTCTCCTTTTCTCTCGTTCACTGTCTCTAAAATATTTCTTGCTGGTACACGAGATGACTTAAGCTCTCGAATTAATTCCTTATCTTCCGGGGTAAGAACATTCCCTTTCCTTGCCCCCTCTCGAAAAAGCTCCAACGGATGATTGTGGAAACCACTATATTGACTCGGATTGTTCATGTTGGTCACTCCCATAATCAACCAACTTACTTCATTTTTTGGCTGCTCAATCTTGATCTGGAACTGGCATCCGGTCTTATTTGAAGAAGTAAATTCTCGCTTTTTAACTGTCGGATCAGAAGGGTTGGACTTTCTCTTCTTACCATGAGTGCAAGTCAAATAAAATCGCCGACTATTTTCGTTTGGATTTTTTTTGTTCGACGTCCGCACTAAATAGAACCCTAAACCCTTGGCTATTTCACATGCTGCTTTATAGGCTTCTATCTCTGAATCGTATTTCACCCCTTTAACGAATGTCGGTGTATAATCAAAAGGACCCGAATGGGAACTTCTATCAATTTCCTAAAATATGTATAAAAAATAAGATTCATTCAACCTAACATAACATTTATTCAACCTAAAAATCCCTATGCAATTTATATTAACATAAAAGATTAGTAAATAATTTGTAACAAATAAAGTTCATTCATAATGAAAATTTGTACTGAAATAAGTGAGCTCATAACATAAATACCTCGTCGGAGTCGCTATCACTATTCATGGCGAGTATAGGACGACAATGCAAAATTGAATCAACGGATATCCTGAAATTAAATAAATAATAATAATCAATTTAAATTGTCACACTTAACATAAATTAATCATTCAAAATTATAACAATTAACTACTTATTCATAAGTCTAATACGTATGGTTACATGGTTCTAAATAACTATCTTCAATTTATAAATGTTTTATCACGTTAAATATTTTCAATAACAATGTACAATTTGCAATTGTTCATAATCAAACAAAATCCTATGGACTAAAACGCAGTTAAAACAATGAATTTACATTCTGAAATTACAAATTGATTACACATATCTCATATGGGCCCAAACGCAGGTAAATGCAAGTCAATATGGCAGTCAAACAAGAGGTAAACGCAGGTAAAGGGTGGTCAGATTAATAATCAAACAAGGAATTATGTTTCGTTGGGCCACGGGTCAAAAACAGTATCAAAATGGGTTGACCGTAGGATAAACGAAAACAATGTTTCGTTGGGCCACCCAGAGACCGACGTTGGACCATAGGACAAACGGAAACAAAGTTTCGTTGGGCCACCGAGAGACCGACGTTGGACCACAGGATAAACGCAATCGATGGCTCTGTTCCGTCTTACCGTTTGCGGTGGTGTTCTCCGGCTTTGCAAGGGGCGGCGAACCAGTGGCCGGCTGGCTGGGGCGACTAGGGCGGGAGGAAGAAAGAGAACAGGAGTGGGTCGTCGTCGAGCTTCTTCTCCGGCAACAAGTGCGGTGCGGCGAACGGTAATGTGCCTTCTCCGGCGACGCAGTGGCAAAGGTGATGGCAGCTGTCGGGAAGGCTGTGGCGGGAGGAACAGAGACGTGGCCAGAAGAGGTGGTTGGGGGGCTTGTGAGAAACAGAGGCCGGCGGGAGAAACAGAGGCCGGCGGGGAACAAATGGCCGGCGAGCTGGGACGACTAGAGCGGGAGGAAGAAAGAGTGCAGAGTGGCGTGGTCGTCGATCGTTTTCTCCGGCAACAAGTGCGGTGAAGCGAACGGGAATGGGCCTTCTCTGGCTCTCCGTCTTCTCCGACAATGCAAACCCACTGGCGAGATGCGTGTGTAGAGAGGCGGAGGTCGACGAGGTTGGAGCTTGGGGAGTTTCTCGAGAATGCAGGTGAGAGAGAAGAGTGAGAGAGAAGGGTGAGAGGAAGTTTGTCGGATTTAGCCAGTTTGTCGCCAATGCAGCTTATGCAGAGCCGCAGGGGTGATGTAGGAGAGAGGAAGTTGGATTTGTATCTTGGAGAGTGCAGTGAGAGGGAAGATAGATATGTTTGGACTTTAGTATATAATTTGAAATTGATAATTGGGCAAATTAGTAAATTAATTTAACATAGGACGATTGAAAGTAATTTTAAGGACGACATTTAGCAATTCCCTTGCTAATCGAGTATGACAATAACGGTGCTGTATTTATGGATTTGGCGGTGCCGCATGATTGTTATAGTTTGAATATCACTGCAGCCGAATTTTAAACAACCTTGCAGAAGAATGGACAAATTAAACGGTTGTGTATGGCCAACATAGTGGCCCCGTTGGACATTCGGATTGGAGAACAAGAATGATGGCGTTTGGTTACTCGACGTTGTAGAGTAAAAAATAATAATAAAATGAAATTCAAGCCGCTGAGCAGCAGCGTTGCAGGAAAGGAATAAACATGACTGCGAGGTATCCAACAGCGTTGCGAGACTGCTGTACACCTTTGCGGATAGGATCGCTTTCAAGTACTGAGACAACAGGTCACTGGTTTGAAAAAAATACAGCCGAAGCCGCATAACAAAATATATATATATATTATAAGCGGCTAGAAGTTGCGAAAACAACTTTGTTTGCTCCTTGGAAAAGAATAACAGTGTTGCTGGAGTGCGAGTCTGTTTGGAAGTTGGCAAAGCTTGACCCACAATATTGTGCAGATCAAGTAAGGAACTAATTTTTGGTGGAATTGGTGTTTAGGTAGCCAAATAGGGCCAGGTGATTTCTCTCGCCACTTTGGTGGATTTGAGGCCAAGTTAAGAAAATTATTTTAGGTGATTTGTTTTGTGTCAACAATTTGGTTCATAATCCTTGTAAACCAAATTGTGGGGTATTTGTTGACACCTAAAATTAATTTGGCCTAAATTCAATACCGCAATTATTAGTCTCGGCATTTAATTCAATACTTCATGAGAAAAACGGTATCGTTTGGAGACAAGCGACATCGCACGAGATCCAACGGTGTCGCTCAGCTAGAAAACGACATTGCAAGGAAACTCAGCGGTACCGCGACACTTGAAACGACATTGTTTACTAGAAAACAATTGTTGTGAGACATGGGTCGCAAGATTGGTGTTGTTGTTGGAAAAGGAGTGTGTTTTTTATTACTTATCGGAGAAGGAGAGAGAAACGACAACGCGTACAGACAAGCGGCATTACAGATGGGTAAAACGATACCACGAAACAAAAAACGGTACCGCAAGGAAGCTCAGCTGTACCGCGGCACTGGAAACGACACTGTTTACCGGAAAATAAGAGGTGGGCCGCGCGTTTACTATTGGTGTTGGAAAAGGATTTTTTAAATTAATTATTATTTTATTATTTGTGTGAAGGGGAGAAGCGATACTGCATGGAGACAAGCGGCATCGCGGAGAATTAAGAACGGTACCGCGAGTAAGCCCAACGGTACCACGGTACTAGCAAACGACAGTGTTTTTTAATAAAAAATAATGTCGAGAAAGGAAAAGCAAACAAAGCCGTTTTGGGGAAGGAAACGGTACCGCGAGTAGGCCCAACGGTGTCGCTATACTAGCAAACGACAGTGTTGAAAATAAACGGTGTCGCGGAGGAAAAAACAAACGGAGCTGATTGGGAAAGAAAACGACACCGCAAGGCTGGAAGAGGAGTCGTTTAATATTAAAATAATGTCGCGGCTATAATCAAGCGGTGCTGTTTAGCTAAAAACGACACCGTTTAAAGAATCAACAGCGTCGCGATATTACTAATTGATGTCGTTTAGTTAGAAACCATACCACAACGGGTTGGATTTTTGCGAGGCCCGACAAGCCAAACGGCACATCAAGACGAGAAAACGGTAACGTTTGGTAGAGAACAATGTCGCGAAAAGATTAAACGGCGCCGAGGGATGAGAATTTGACCTCGTATCAATAAAGAGTCGGTTTAATTGACTAATCTTTTTTAATAAATTTTTTAGACGGTGTTGTGTGGCTAAAAACGATGTCACGAGAGAAAACGGCGGAACAGTGGTGGGTAAGAGTTCGGCCAAAGGCGGTCCGCCAAGCCCAACGGTGGCGCAAGACTAGAAAACGACGTTGTTTGATGGGCTAACGATGTTGTTGATCAAACCTGGTCGGGGCAATTAAGTTGTGATTATAAAACGACATTGAGTAGTGAAAAGCGATGCCGCTGTATTGGTGAGCAACGTCGTGTGATTAAAAACAATGTCACAAGGTTCATGATTTTGTCATGGATGATGAGAACGACGTTATGAACGAAGGAGGTTTATTCGCTAAGTTTATGGAGGTGAAACGGCATCGTTGCATGGACAAGTTTGTAGGATTTGGCTCAACATTGTTTTGCCAAGTTTCTGCATAGCGGAATGGTTTCGGGGGCACGTGATTATCACGCAACGAGGAGGAAGTTACCCGCACAGTTGACAGGAATGAAGACGTGGGAGACAAAGGCGCGAAGGCGGTTACTACGACTACGGGCAGAAGATTGTGGTATAAACATCAGGAAGAGAGAGAAGCTCAAGAGGGCAAAATCAAATCTCATACTGCACCGTCGCAGAATCTATCTTTTTTCTCTCTAGTTCGTAGAACTGCTCTGTCAAAGACTTCCTTTGCAGAGTCGTAGTCGTAACTTGTAGTCGTAGTCGCGGAGCTCTCTAGAGGAAACTCCATAGGAGTAGAGGTAACGTAACTTAGAACACTCCCGGTTGGTTTCTCGTTTCTCGTTGAACACCCTCGTTCGAACGTAGTTTGGAGAGGTGGTGAACCGAGTAACGGTTGTTCTGGTTAGAAGTCAAAGGTGAATCGATCAAATCAACATCGCCGACGCTGGCGGTGGATATTTGATGGTCGTCTTCATTTCTGTTTAATCGATTATATCAATAGCGCCGACATTCGGCGGCAGATATTTGACGATTGTGTTGACTTTGTGTTTACTTGAAAACAGTGTACATTGAACACGCGAGTTTCGCCAAAGAAACAGCGTGCGTTTGGAAACATTGGATTCTTGATTCTTTGGCTTCTCGGCAATATTATTCTACTTGCATTAAGGTTATTTGACTTATTTTGGATAGTGTTGCGTGGTAGATCTCTTACCTCGCTACACGTTTGCATTCTAGGGTTTTTTTGGCCCGCTTGGTTTTTTGGATCGACGCGCATTAGCTGGGTTTTGGGAGTTCTTCTTCTGGCTTTTGGTTCGCTTCTACTTGGCGGTTCGGGGTTCTCTTTTGTGCCGCCCTTCTTCTCGTTCCGACTTGGGTTTATTTATTTAGCACACTTCGGGATTGGGTACTTTCGTATCATCATGCACTCTTCTGCCCTCGTTTCGTTTCCTTGGTGGGATTTATTCTCAGGTTAGATCCTTCGAATCTGTTCTTGTGCTTCGTTGTTTTTTGGCACCTTGGCATCTGCTCAAGCTTTTACTGATTGGGCGGCTGGTAATGCTCAAATTTTCTATTGGCTGCTCTCTTGCGTTGACCCTGCCATCGCTCTGAGTTTGCGACGTTTTTCCACTGCTCATGACATGTGGAAACATATCGTGACTACCTATTCTCAGGCCAGTTCCTCACGCCAATTTCAGCTTGAATGTGAACTTGCTCGCTATACACAGGGCGATATGGATATTCGCACTTTTTACAAGGCATTGTCTCGAAATGGACGGAGTCTAATTTGCTGGCGGCGTTTCTGTCTCCTGCTGAGAGTATGGCTGCTGTTATTCGGGCAGATTTTGAACCTATCCAGGCATCTATCATTCATCGCAATGTGACGTTCATTGATGAGGCATTTGCCGAGCTGCTTCGGGAGGAAACGTGCCTTCACAGTCAAGCGCAACTGGATAATACTCATGGGGGAGCTGATTCTGTCTTTGTTGTCGGTCGTGGTAGCTCCAATCGTCTGCAACGTCCTCAGTTTAATCCTGTGGCTACGTCGCATCTCACTTGCCATTTTTGTCACGAGCTCGGGCATATCCAACCTCATTGTCCTAAGAAGAATTTCAGCATCTACTACAAGAAACAGGGTCACATTATCTTGGACTGCAAGAGTCTTGCTTTTCGAAACCGCTCGTCTGCTTCCTCGTCCTCGGGGGTCTCGTCTGGGTCCGGATATTCGGTTGATCATAATGCTGCTCCATCTGCTTCTGGCGGAGCAAGAGTTGATTCGACCCCAGCCACTTCTACTCCGTTAGCTCCCGATCTTATTCGGCGGCTGATAGCCGAGGCCCTCCGGGAAGCTCTTCCCACTGCATTGAACGCAGCTTTCGCAACTGGTGGCAGTTTATGTACATATCCCCAATGGTTATTAGATTCTGCGGCATTAAATCATATGACGCGCTCTGGTTCTCTTTTTTCTTCGATGCTCTCAGGATCTCCTATGACATTACAGGTTGCTAATAGTGATCGGGTTCCTGTTCAAGGACAAGGTGATATTGTGACTTCTTCTATTGTCTTACCGAAGACTCTTAATGTCCCGAAATTGGTTCATAGTCTGGTTTTTGTAGGTCAACTCACGGAGGATGGTTGTGATGTTCTTTTTACTTCCCGTGGGTGTGTGGTGTAGGATCAGAAAATCGGGAGAGTGGTCGGGACGGGTAGGAAGGAAGGACGAGGCTTTGTTCTCGAGGAGTACAAGCCGCCAGCTACCTTGGGAGCAACTGGCCAGCTGGTGAAGCCTCGGGAATGGGAGCCTGATGCGGGAGAGGAAGAAGAGCTTGCTTATCCAGTTTGTTTGGGCAGTGATGATCTGATTTTGTTAAGGCTTTGAATTTGTCGTCTATTTTTTCTGTTCGGTCGTCACGGCCTGTGGATTTTTCTGTTAAGACATCAGTTTGGGATCTGTGGCATTGCCGTCTTGGTCACTCACATACAACACGTTTGTTAACCATGTTTCGGAAAAAGATGCTTCCTGCAAGATTAAATGTGAATTTCAGTGTTCCTAATACTTGCGTTAGTTGTATAGATCTCAAGCTTCCTTCTCCTCTAGTGACACAGTTTATGTTGCGTCTTTTGATCTGGTTCACACGGATCTGTGGGGGCCGCCTCTGGTCACTTCTCGACTTGGGTATAAGTATTTTGCCTTGTTCGTCAATCATGTCTCTCGCTATACTTGGGTTTATTTTCTTCGCTCCAATTCTGAATTGATCACGCATGCCAAAGAATTTATTCAGATGATTCGCACTCAGTTTGGCCTCACTGTCAAGATTGTTCATTCTGATACAGGAGGGGAGTTCACCTCGCATCCTCTTCAAGAGTTTTATGCAGCCCATGGTATTCTCTCTCGGCTCTCTTGCCCATGACTGTCTCAGCAAAACGGGCTTGTTGAATGCAAGAAGTGCCACGTCTTGGATCTGACTCTTGCTCTCCTTTGACACTCACTCGTGCCTAGTTGCTTTTGGGTTGAGGCAATTAATACCGTTGTGTAACGTATTAACCGCAAGTCACTCCTTTTCTCGATGGAGAGTCTTCGTATCAGCAGTTATATGGTCGAGTGCCTGACTACTCTATCCTTCGTGTTTTCGGCTGTATGTGCTTTGTTCTCCGGCCAAAACACGAGCGCAACAAGTTGGAGGCAAAAAAGCTCGTTGTGTTTTCCTTGGCTATAGCTCTCGACAGAAGGGCTATGTGTGTTATGACCGTCGGGAACGCAGGATTCATGTCTTGTGTAATGTTGTTTTCTTGGAACAGGTTATGTATTTTTTGGCTGCTGATCGTGATATTGAACGGGAGCTTGATTTCTTGAAGATAGTGCAGCTCGCAGATTTCTCGCGAGCCTTACCTCTTTCTCAAGATCCCGAACCTGGATCACTAGGGGGACTGATATGAGCTATGATTATTCGCCTCCTCACACTCCATCAGGCGCTGTTGATACATCTACTTCTTCTTCCTCTAGCTTGTCCTCATCGCCTTCACCTCAGCTGTCCTGGGCTTCAGGAGAGTTCTCGACTTGGGGAGAGTCCTCGACTTCAATTCACAGTAGCAATTCAGGGAGCAGTCTTACACCTCCACCAGTTCCAGCACCTCGCCGGTCCTTGCGAGGTAATATTGGTCAGGCTCCCATTCGTTTGCACGATTATATTGGATTCTCAGCTGAGCCGATTCCAGTTCCTTCTCATTACCGATTTGCAAAGAATGACCCTAGATGGAATGAAGCAATGAGGGTTGAAACAGAAGCTTCGGAAGAGAATCACACGTGGGACATTGTCCCGCGTACTCCAGATATGTATGTGATTGAAACAGGTGGATATACACAATTAAGATGTTTCCAGATGGTTAAATTGAGAGTTTTAAGGCTCGGTTAGTTGCTCAGGGCTTCCAGCAGGAGTATGGCATTGATTACGATGAGACATTTGCACCGGTTGTAAAATGCAAATGGTTCGTAGTGTGTTTGCCGTGGGTGCTAAGCGTTCTTGGGAGATTATTCAATTTGATGTAAAGAATGCATTCTTGGATGGTGGTCTCAAGGAAACTATATACATGGAGTGTCCAGAGGGATATGATAAAAAGGGAAAGGATGTAGTCTGCAAGCTGCGACGATCCCTATATGGGCTAAAACAAGCACCTCGGGTGTGGTTCGAGAAGTTTCACTCAACGATCATCCATGCAGGAGTTACTCAAAGTCAGAATGATCCTTCGATGTTTGTGAGGAATAGAGTGGATGGCATTGTAGTTCTGATATTATATGTGGATGACATGATTGTTACTGGGAGTGATCAAGGAGGCATTCGCGATTTGACAGCTGCTCTGCGAGAAGCTTTCAATCTGAAAGAACTCGGCCCTATGTCATACTTCCTCGGATTGGATGTAACTCGTCTTCCTACTGGGTACTTCTTATGTCTGAAGAAATACATTGCCGATCTCTTAGCTGCATCAGAATATTTTGATTGTAAACCCTGCACAACACCTATGGAGCAGAATTTGAAGTTGAGTAGATAAAGTGGTGATTTGTTGGAAGACCAGACTTTCTATAAGAGTGTGGTTGGAAGCCTTATCTACCTTACTCACACGAGACTAGATATAGCGTACGCAGTCCAGGTAGTCAGTCAATTTATGGGATTTGCTAGGACAAGACATCTGGATGTTGTACACAGAATCCTGCGGTATTTGAAGCATACTAGCGATGTGGGATTGGTTTTCTCAGCAGGTGGAGAGCTGACTGTGTAAGCATTTGCCGACACTGATTATGCAAGATGCATTGATCCAAGACGGTCTACCTCTGGATGGTGCATTCGCTTTGGAAAATCGTTTATTTCCTGGAGATGCAAGAAGCAAAATAAGGTATCTAAATCTTCGATTGAGGCAGAGTATCAGTCGATGTCTGAAGTCAGTTTAGAAATGGTCTGGTTGCAGAGACTGTTTGGAGAGTTAGGGATTTCATGTAAGATGGCCATGCAGATCTATGAAGACAATACCAGTGCTATACAGATTGCTATCAACCCGTTACTTCATGATAGGACCAAACACATCGAAGTACATGTTCATTATATAGGACAGCTCGTAGTTGAGGGAGTTGTTCAGATCAGTTATATTTCAACAGATGATCAGACTGCAGATATTCTGACAAAAGCTTTGGGGTCTAATCGTCATTGGTTCCTATCTTGCAAATTAATGTTGAGTACCCAACATCAATTTGAGGGAGGGTGTTGAAAGTATAGGTACCATAATGTAATTTGTATCTAGGATTTGTTATAGCAAACTATATATAGTTTGGTGTATCCTGTAACATGAACTTACGAAAAATAAAACCAAAAACCTGACAGGGAGATCCTCTCCGTGGACTAGTATCATATTGACGAAACCACGTTAAAAAACTCTGTGTGTTGATCAATTCTTCTGATTCGATTTGCTATTATTGACAGAGAGAGAGAGAGGTACGGGAAGATGATGAGGTGGATATTTATGTTTGCGGTGGCATTGGTCACCTCCACAAGGATTTATAGCAAAGCCAGAGACTACACTAGTGGAAGGATTCGCATGGTCGAACATACAAAGCCAAAAATACTTCCGTTTTAAGGTATCACCTGCCTTTGTCGACTGATTCGCCTAAACATAGTATATATAGTTCTTAATTAAATATACCTCGTAATTTTGAAGCTTCCTTTCTAGTACAATAAGTGGGGTCTTCCACAATCACTGTAAATTAAACGACCTCGCTCTCACTAGCTAGCTTGGTAATTATTTCTAAAGTGGAGCCAAAGCTGGGCTGTTGATTCGATTCGAGTTCAATTCAAGTTAAAGCTTTATTTGAACAATGTTTCCGTCTGTTGGGAGGAGTAACCCTAGGGAAATTCCATGGAGTTACGTTGTAGGTTCTCTCGTTTATAGCAAGCTAATTAATTAGGGCATCATTGTTAGGTCGGCTTTAAGCAGAGAGTGTGTACGTAGAATCAACTTCATGATTCACACATGGATTTTAATTGGTGGTGGTGATGGAGAGGGACATGAGTTAGTGGAGGCAAAAGACAAAGGAAAGTTATGTCTGGTAAGCCCAATCCCATAATGGCAGATGATTGCATTGTTCTTCCTGTTAAATTTAGCCATTAGTTTAATTTCATATATATATATATAGAGGGAGAGAGAGACGGATACATTGTAGGGTTGCAATAATGGGGCTTGCTAATGCTATTGGGCCTGGTCATTCGTGGAGGGGTCGAAGTAGTCCGTCAGGGTTTCCCTGCTCGTGTCTTTGATGAAGGCAAAGGTGAGCAGCGTGCAAACTAGGAGGAAACCAGCCGAGATCAGCATCGACCGACCAAATCTGGGAAGTGACTGTCCGTAGATAGAAAGGGACTTCATGTTGATCATCTTCCCCACCTCCTGGCCGGTCAAAACTGCCCCGGCCACTGCCATTGCCCTTGCCGGGAGCCCGATTGTTTCCGGCCCGTACATCCAGATGATCCCGCCCAGTCCGACCGAGAGCCCGGCTTCAAATACAATGGCGGCCCAAGCCAACCATCGGAAGGCCACCTGGTCGCTCATGCAGCCGTGCTGGTTAGCTGACAGTGACACGAGAAAAAAGAAGAAGAAAAAAAGTGCCCGTTAGAATCTAAGTATTCAATTGAGTTATAAAGCACCAACGTAACATTATACCTATCCAGACGACTCCCATCGTGACGGCTGCCAGCATGCTGACCACCGTGCTGGCCAGCATCATCCTTCTCCTGCCGAACCGGTCAACCGTGAGCATCAGCACCATCGAGCCCACGATCCTGGTTCCTGTCAGTGCTGCGACGGCTCGGATGTACGACTGCTCGGAGTGTTGGCCGCCAAGGCTGATCAGGATGGATCTGGTGTAGGTTGAGACAATGAACTCCCCGGTCAACTGGTGGAGGATGTGGAGCAGGATGAGGAGGACGGTGGCCCCGTTGAAAAATCGGGACCACATCCCGTCGATCCCGCCCTTGTTCCTGTTGTAGTTGTTCGTGTTCCCGTTGATGTAGGGCGGGATGTTCGCGACCTTCTTCAGCTGGTCGATTCTTTCGTCGGCCTCTTCGCTGGGGCACCCCATGTCATCTTCCATGACGGTCCTCGCTTCCTCCAGCAGGCCGGCGATCGGCAGGTACGCCGGGGATTCTCGGAAGCCGGAAAAGATGAGGGTGGCAAGGGAGACGAGGGACACCACACACGGGATCCCGGTCATCACCTGCCATCCTCGGTTGTGAAGGTGGTGCTCGCGGAACGCCAACTGCGCCGCGTAACCAGACAGCCTCCCAAAGCAGAAGAGAAGCTGCATGGATTGGACGTACGGAACGACAAATTGAACTGAATTTTTAGTGACCATGCATACATGCATGTACGTAAAGCTTGCTATATGAGAGGGATGCATATAAATTTAATTGTGTATGTATTTGTAATTATCCTAGCTAACTAGATGATCAAACTCAGCGCTACTTTTTAGTATCTTCATAGATATTATTAACTAGGCTTGGCTTGACTTGACACTACTAGAGAGTTTCTTTCCAAAAGAGCTACTCGGTCGTGTGCTTTATGCCGACAAAAGTGAGGGCGCGCGTTCGGCATATATACGTGGCCATTAACCATTTAGATGCGTGCTTAGTAGAGGTGTCCATTCGGGTTCGTTTTTTCGGGTTTACCCGAAACCGATCCGATTATATATATTTTCGATTTTTCAGGTTCGGGTTTATTTCGGGTTTTGGGTTCGGTTTTGCTTATCGGTTTTTCGGGTTCCGGCTAAAAACCTCCAATGAATAGAACTCAACCCGTATTCTTAGGCATTCGGGTTTTCGGGTTTCGGTTTTACTTTAACCGAACCCGAACCCAATAAAGAATATTTGGATTTCGGGTAACCGGAACCCGCAAATACTTATCGAATTCGGGTTCGGTTTTAGTGATTTTCGGTTTCGGGTTCTCGGATTTTTTCGGGTTCCCGACCCGAACTTACACCCCTACTGCTTAGTCAGAGTGGTTTTTAACAGAGAAGAAAAACCTTAATTCAGAGAAAGCAAAGTGGATGGTACTGTAGTGATATAAAACAACGTAACTTTCACTTTTTTGGATTTCTTTAAATTAAATGAACTAGTTTTGGCGTATATGTTACTAGAATCACTACTAGTAAGATTGTCATGTGTTTGAACTCGTGTCATATCCCTCTATTATTATATTAAATAGTTCAAAATATAAATTTTATAATCTATGTTGGGAAACTTGAACATCACATTCGTTTAGATTTCCTTCCACAATTACTTCAACTTATATTATGGTCAATTTGTATAGGAAAAACACCACATAGTTAGTTAGTGGTCGATAATTTATCGTTTATATAAAATAAAGATTATTCAGAATATATCATTAAAAAATTCATATCCAAATAAGTCATCTATATGAAAAATGATCGAATAATGCAAGTTTTGTTACCTTAAAAGACACAACATAATTACTAAATTGGTTGGCATTTACATTTGTGATCAATCGATATGGTCACAACGCACAACATAAACCACCTATGTTTAACATGAGGATATACGCAGACTTTAAGTGACCATTTGATATATATATATGGTGGCAACAGGATTCATTTTGTGGCTTTTCAGTTTCGTCACTGATCATTATCTTTTTGTGACCGAATTGAAAATTTTGGTCAGAAAGTGTTGTTCCGACGCCCTGTCGAGGGAAAATGTAACCAAAGTTTCAACGAAAGTTTTGGTAACTGACAGTGTAAGCGACCATATTATAATTTTTGTGACCACTTTCCTCCGTCACAAAAGGGGAAAATCCTTTGTAGTGTTTACAAAAAGCTACGTATATATATAATATATCCTCTACTCTTTTTCAACGTAGTCCTTTTTCTTGTTGGTGGGCTTTTTGTGTTGGATTCCTCAAATGTTAAAGTAGAAAAGTAGAGGGACCCAATTAAAATCGGCATCTCTAGCTAACAATTAATTGACTCTTGTCGCTAACTAATTAAGCTACGTACTCCAATGAATTCGTTAATTAATGAAAGTTTTAAAAATTACCTGTGGGAAGGATCCCAGGAAGCCTCGAACTCTGGCAGGCGACACTTCAGCAATGTAAATCGGCCCAATCACCACCCCAAACCCGGTTCCCACAATCATGAACCCGCGGCCCACTTTGAACGTTTCAAATGTCGAGCCGAAGCTGAGGACGGCGGCGCCGACCGCGTAGATGAGGAGGCCGAAACCGAAGGGCCACCGCCGGCCAAAATAGTTGATAAATAACCCGGCGACGAGAACGGCTAGTAAAATGAGCGTGCCGTACTCCCACTCGAACTCGGCCAAATCGGCGTGTGGCCTTCCGATGCTCACCTCAATCAGCTTGATCCCACGCGGCACGGCTATCTCTGCATGCCGGCAACCCAAGCCCATGCAAAATTATTAATTAGCATTAATAATAACAGTATGGACGTGATAATAAAATTTAAGTACCGTAGCCCAGCTGGAAGAACGGAACCGAAGCTATGATTGAGGAGAGGAGGGCGAATCGGTTGGGGAACGCCGCCGACGGCATTGTGACAGGTTTAGTTTGAACGATTGAGACGAAGAGCGAATCGCTGGTGGATGGACAAGTAGTCAGAGTGTAACAAATTATATAGAGCCGGTCGAGCACTCTTAACGTTTCCGTATTGCTATAAACGGGAGAATTTTTCCGACGAAGAATTTTTCCATTGCTGCCCACAAAAACGATCGAGAGCTTCCTTTACTTCAACGGCCAGAGATCGATATACATATAGCTTCGTCCATCGATCCCGCCTTTGTTCAGTTATTCCTTTAGAGATCAATCGATTAACCTTTGTCTTTGTGAATATTTTTGATAAAATTCTTCTTGTTAAGGGCTAAAGCTAGCAAGCAGGCCCTCATAGCGCTCCCATTGAATGGTATCGCATTCTGCCGCAACAGCGGCGGATCCAGAACACAGAAGAGCACTGGGCCGAGTTTCATTAGAAATTGAATAGTAAAAAAACATAATGATTATAGTTTTTTTCTAATGTAAATTGTACACGACGGTATTTTAATTTAGTGATGCATCAATAATGGAGCCTACATCCATACCAATAGTATACACTGTTTCAAATAAAATACTTGAGCAATCGGCAAGAAATTCATCGCTCATTTTGTTGAGCAAATCAGTTCTCACATATTTCATTGTTGAAAAGGTTCTCTTCGTAGTAGTTGTTGAAACGAGCAGCATTAACACTAGACAAATCAATCGACTAATCAATTGGAATTGTGTGTCAATCCCTGCATCCACCAAGTGCTCTAGTAAGTTTTCAAGGGAACAAACCTCATATTTCTTTTAGTCTTTTACGTTTTAAACTTTTAGAATTTTAGGTTTCATTGTTTTTTTTATATGCATAATCTTTGGGGCTAAAATTTAAAGGCTAAATTTAGAGTAGTGATTTGAATATGGTCATCTGAATCATTTTCTAGTTATACTCAATTTTATTATAAAATCACACTAAGCCAAATGCCTAAAATCGAAAAATTCATAAGGACTATACTAGGGTTTATTGATGGCTCGATTCCCCAACCTGCTGCTGGCAGCCTCCGCGATCAATGGAAGATTTGTGATGCGATGGTGAAGGGTTGGCTGAAGTCGGCGATGAGCAAAGAAATCCGCTCCAGTGTCCGCTTCGCTAGCACGGCGCGCGATATTTGGCTGGACCTTGAGGCCCGATTCGGCCAGCCTAGTGCGCCTCACCTTTATGAGCTTCGGGGTAAGATAAGTGCCCTCCAATAAGAAAAGTCCAGCGTCTCCGGCTTTTACACTAAACTGCGGGGGTTGTGGGATGAAATTCAACCCATCTCCCCCACCCCTGATTGCAATTGTGGCAGATGTGCTTGTGATGTGAAACGCAAGTATCGTGACACCAAGAACAGCGAACAACTCTTCGACTTTCTTATGGGTTTGGATGAAGCATTCTCGACCGTTAAAACTCAGATTTTGGCTATGCGTCCAATGCCTAGTCTCGCCGAAGCTTACCAACTCGTGAGCAATGATGAGCAGCAGCAGCGGATTGCTCAATCGCGGCGTCCCACTGTTGAGGCCGTTGCATTCCATGCTTCTGATCACCGACCTGCCTCCCAAGGTTCATCGAAGCAGTCTGATTCTACCAAGCCCCGTTACTTCTGTGACCACTACAAGAAACCGGGCCATTCTAAAGAGCGCTGCTTTGAGCTTGTGGGCTACCTAGATCGGACAGCAGCTCGTGAGGAGCGTGGGGCTCGTTCGAAAAAGGGTGATCGTGGGAAGAGTTCTCCTCAGGAAGCCCAGGTTGAGACCCGTGCCAGTCCCATTCCCGGCTTAACTATTTCCCAGTTCGAGCAGCTCAAAAATTTATTCGTTGGCGAGATGAGAAACACGTCTAGTTTGGCTGATAAGACGATAGGTAATGGCTCTCTTCCCTCTACCAAAAGTGATGAATGGTTAATTGACACGGGCTGTAACGAACACATTGTAAACAATCCAAAGTTAGTTCTTAGGTCACAGGCCGACCACGGTTTGCAGGTACGGGTCCCCGATGGTACTAGTATTCCGGTAACTCGTATTGGTGAAGTTCGGCTATCTAATGGGCTCGTCCTGCCTCGTGTGCTGTTGGTTCCAGAATTTAAATGCAACTTGTTACTGTTAGTCAGCTTACTCGGGATTTTTCTCTGGCTTTGATCTTCCTCCACGACTTCTGTGTGATACAGGACTTGTCCTCGAAGACAATTATTGGGATGGGGAACCAAACTGATGGCCTTTACTATTTGGGCCTGTTTGAGGGGGTTCGGCGAGAGATGGCTCATGCTGTTCGTGGTCATGGTTCAGCCGATCTATGGCATTCCCGATTGGGTCATCCGTCTCCTGAAAACTGAATTTGTTGCATTTAATTCCCAGCACTAGTCGAAACAATAATACTCTTTGCTCATCTTGTTTGCGAGCGAAGCAAACTCGCTTAGTTTTTCCTTCCTGCGCGATTCGCAGTACTCGGCCATTTGAGATTGTTCACAATTATATTTGGGTCGGTTACAAAGTTCCTTCTTTAAGTGGAGCTCAGTATTTTCTTACGATTGTTGATGATTACACTCGTGGTGTCTGGATTTATTTACTTAAGTTTAAGTCTGAAGCAGCCAAGTACTTGAAACCCTTTGTTCGACAGCCATCTCGGCAGTTTAATGCCTCGGCTAAGGTTGTTCAGACTGATAATGACACTGAGTTCCAGTCCCATGATTTGGTTGATTTCTACGTTGAAGAAGGTATCCATCTGCAGACATCTTGTGTTGACACTCCACATCAGAATGGGATTGTCGAACGAAAACATCGACATATCTCGGATACAACGCGTGCTCTGCGCTTTCATGCCAATTTACCTAAGAAATTATGGGGTGAGTGTGTTGTTACTGCTAGCTACTTAATTAATCGACTCCCGCACAACTCTCTTGGCAACCAAACTACATATGAACGTCTTTTTGGACGACGCCCCACTTATTCTCACCTGCACGCCTTTGGTTGCCTTGTTTACTCCAAGGATACTCGCCACCATTTAGATAAATTTGGCGAGCGAGGTCGTCCTTGTGTTTTTCTCGGCTACCCTTCTTCTCAGAAAAGGATACCGTGTTTATGAGCTGTCATCTCACAGTCTTTTCACTTCTCGTGATGTCGTTTTTGAGGAAATGACATTTCCTTTCCACACTTTGGCTAGTGACATTTCCCCCATGCCGACACAGTTCTCTTCTCCTTCGGCGTTTGTGGGTGGTGATGATGATGATTTAGTACATGTCGCCCCTGGACTCCTTAATTCTTCTACTAACCCCGCTACCGTGAGCTCTCCCACCCCGGCTGCGGATTCGGCGGCCTCGCCTGCTCGTCCCCCTTCCGCCGCGGACGATGCAGCTACCTCTTCGGTCGAGGACGACGAGGATGCTCCACCCTCCTCCACGGCCGACGTCCCTAGTCCTTCCCCTATTGAGCCACCTGCTCCTGTCGCCTCTCCGCCGCCTCCTCGACGCAATGACCGTGTCCGCAAGCCATCTGTTCGCCTCATAGGTTATGAGACTCACTTCCCCACTTCTCATGCAGCGGATGTGAAATACCCCTTTTCTGCTTATGTCACTTTTACTCGCTTGTCATCTAATCATCGTGTTTTTGTGTCAGCGGTTGATACTTTGGTGGAACCTCAATTTTTCCATGATGCAGTGAAGCTGGCCTGCTGGCGTGAAGCCATGCAACGGGAAATTGCTGCTCTCGAGGCCAATGGCACATGGGATCTCCAGGATTTACCGCCTGGCAAACGAGCCATTTCCTCTAAATGGGTCTACAAGATCAAATTTAATCCTGATGGCATTGTTGAGAGGTACAAGGCCCGTATGGTCGCCAAAGGTTTCACCCAGATTGAAGGGGTTGACTATCACGACACCTTTGCTCCCGTTGCAAAGCTTGTGACCGTCCGTTCGGTTCTTGCTGTGGCCGCCCACCGTGGTTGGCACTTACACCAACTTGACGTCAACAATGCTTTCCTGCATGGGGACCTCGACGAGGAGGTCTACATGAAGCTTCCCCCTGGATTTGCTCGACCGGGGGACAACTGGGTGTGTCGTCTTCGCAAATCTCTTTACGGATTGAAACAGGCATTGCATAATTGGTATATGAAGTTCACTCACTCACTTCAGCAGTTTGGGTTTAAATAGTCAAAGGCGGATCACTCACTTTTCACCTATCGACGGAATGGAGCTTATGTTTTTGCTGTCATTTATGTGGACGACATTATTCTTGGTGGCGATGACCTGGGTAGTATTCAGCGCGTCAAAGACTTTCTGCATGAGAACTTCAGCATCAAGGATTTGGGGGTACTGAAATACTTCTTGGGCATTGTAGTTGCCCGTTCTCGCACTGGTCTGGTGTTATCTCAGAGGAAGTATGCTCTTGACATTCTCAAGGACGCCGGGGCATTAGCTGTTAAGCCTTGTGATTTTCCGATTGAGCAGAACCACCATCTCACCCGGATTGAGGGTTCCGCTGCTAGAGATCCATCGGGTTTTCGTCGTCTGGTCGGCCACTTACAGTACTTGACTGTTACTCGACCCGACATTGTCTATGCTGTTAACATTCTCAGTCAGGTTGTGCATTCCCCACGACAACAACATGAGGATGCAGCTCACAGAGTGTTACGTTACCTTAAGGGGGAGCCTGGGCGCGGCCTTCGCTTACCCACGACGGGGAAGCTTAGTTTGACTGCCTATTGCGATGCTGATTGGGGCGGTTGTCAGAGTACACGTCGCTCCACTACTGGGTACTTTATACGGCTGGGTAACTGTCGGATATCTTGGCGTACCAAGAAACAGTCCGTTGTAGCTCGGTCATTAACTGAAGCAGAGTATAGGGCCATGGCTAGCACTGTCAGCGAGCTCCTTTGGCTGCGTTAGCTGCTCACTGATTTGGGAGTAACCGACAAGGCAGCAACACCGCTGCATTGTGACAATCAGGCAGCCTTACATATAGCTGCCAATCCAGTTTTCCATGAACGTACGAAGCATGTTGAGATGGATTGTCACTTTGTTCGTGAACGCGTGGCATCTGGTGAGATTCCGCAGATGATTTCATCTCAAGACCAAGTTGCTGACATGTTCACAAAAGGTCTAGGTGCGGATCAGTTTTCCTTTCTATCTTCCAAGTTTGGCCTTCATGACATTCATGCCTCAGCTTGAGGGGGCGTGTTGCGGACTACGTACGTGTTGAGATTTATGTACGTATCCTGTTAATTAGTTTGGAGGATTAATTTGTTCTTATCTAGTTAAAATGATGTAAAGGGATAATTCTCCTCCCTATATATGTTGACTGCCGAATGCATGGGTGGTAAAAAGGGAGTTTTCCAAAACCCTAAATAATAAAACTAAACCAAAGACCCCTTGTGCGGGTCTTCCGTGGATTAGTCTTGCTCACAATGAACAAGGATACCACGTAAATCGTTGCGTATTGTGTGATTCTCTAATATATTTTACACATTCCCTTTTGATTATTGTTGACATTGTTCCTCCCTTTTATGGTGCGGTAAATTCTAAGCAAAGGTTCCGAATCAAGAATGAAGAAGTAAAAGGCAAGTCATATATATGTCTCTATATTATAAATGAATGTGATGATGAGCCTGGTAGTAGAGATTGGTATAAATATATATGTATACGTTCCAAAAATGTTCTCATAAATTTAGTGTCTACTACCCAATCATCGGTTATATACGATCTCAATGGAGCATGAAATTGGGCAAGTATCTCTCACATGTTTACTTATACTACGGGAAAAGTGGCTTTTGGCAACACTTAAAATGTGTTGTAAAAAGTGGCTAAAGTGTTGCATATGCGATATGCAACACCTATACTAGTGTCTCTTATAGATGGTGTTGTATAAAGTAATAGGTAACACTTTTCTAACTTTTTGCAACAAAAAAAATATGTGTTGCATATATATATATATAGTATATGCAACAACATTTTAGGTAACATTTTTTTAAGAGTATAACCAACATGCATATGTTTATTCGTGACGGATTTTTTGTGTCACATAAAATGTAATTTTAATGGTCAGCAGTTTAACTTGTCACAACGAGTCACGCTTCCGCGTGTACTTTTATAATTAAAAGAGGTTTTTGTGAGAGTAGCAGTGTCACAATTTCAAATTTTCGTGACAAAGTTATCGTTTCTACTACAACATTGGTCACAAGTTTTTTTATAGCTCAATTATATACCTTAAATTATGGGGTCTTTGTCACAAAACACTTTTGTGACTACTATTTTTATCACATGACAATATTAATGACGAGTATACGTTATAAAAAACGATATACATTAGTGGTGATATTAAGCAAACCAAAAAACAATTAAATAGTTAATAATAAAATGAGGTGTGTATTTATAAATATAAAAGATAAATAATGTGGCGAATATCCAATATCTCTAACAATATAAACTAAATAGTATCAAACAAACCAAAAAAAACTAGCTAAATTCTCTTTTAGATCAATCGGCAACTTCATGGAGTTCTTTCTAAAAGTATCATTTCTCTTCTTCTCTTCCCGAAACTCTACTTGGACAAAGCCAATTGTCAAGTGTCAACGGTTGATTTCCACACCGTATTTGCTGCTACTCACTCAACTAAATTTGCAAGAACCTCTTAATGAAACTCTACCCACAGCTTCCTTTTGCCCTTAACTCCTTGGTTTACTTCTTGAGTTGGATAGCTCACATGAATTGCTTCAAACCTGCAAAGCACAGTATGGGAAAGCCCCAAAATAGATAATTGAAACAATAAGATAATCAACTAACAAAAAAAAAATACAAAGATCAATGGTCGTTTCTTAGTTTCTAGTGAAATATGAGATTTTGTTGCCTAAAAATATAAATATTTAGAAACAACAAAAATTGAATAGAAAGCAGAAGAAAGTGGTGTACATTGGAGAAGCAGTAGCATGTAAGGAAGATGATAAAGAGGAGCTCACGCTAATTTACCCGAAGCGTTCAACTAGACTAGCTGCTTCTCCAACGCAAGAAGTGTTCATCATAGCAGCTTCTCCAATGCCTTGAGTATCACTTAAGTAAACCAACAATTTTTAGATTAAGTTGGGTTTTTTTGTGACATAATTGTGTCACGATATCAAATTTTTGCGACAAAGTTATTGTTGCGGTAGTGTGGGCAACATAGGTTGCAAGCTATTCTTACTATAAAATTTTTGTCACAAAAGAATTTTTGTTACGACGTTTTTGTCACCTATGATACAATATACGTATATATTAGTGACAATATGATTTTTCATAAAGTTAATTTTGATATTTCCGAATGGAGACTGATTCGACGACAATGAGGTTGCTTGATGGAACGAATGGAATTGAAGTAGAAATATTCCCCTATACTTTATTCTTTGGGTCATTGGTTGTGCAAACTTCGTCTTTTTTAAAGGTCCTTCATGATATACGAACTTCTTTTCACATTTTTATTAGGATTTTCTTCTTTTTACAATTATAGGGAAGCTATATATAGCTCTAAATTCAAGTGTTAAATTATTAGCAAAAACATTCACGTGTTAAATAATATTGGTTGCTATAAATTGTAACCTTTTACTAATTTATTTCTGCCTATAATGTAAGAATAGGCAACAGCTTTCGTTTTATTGTACAAGTGCTGCATACTATTAAGGATATGCAACGAAAATTGATGTACGGGTAATTTGTGTTGTATAAGATATATATTAAGCAACACATAATGAAATTATTCCATTTTTTTATTTTACGTGACACTTCTAAAAAATGTTGCAGGACAAGTGTTGCCAAAAGCTAAGTAACTTTTCCCGTACGAACACATTGTTATTTATGGACGTGTATTTGCCAAATCTGTGAATGTTTGAAGATTTAGACAAAGAACTCTTCTTCTGTGAAGAAGATGAAAGGGGAAGGAGCCTGTAGGGTTTGGGGAAAGCGGCTCGATGCCTTTCCATTCAGGCTTAGCTGGTTTATATAGTCTGTACATATGGAGAAAAGAAAGGTAATGAAAGAAAAACCTATCTACTGATCTACGGATCTACTGCTAATTCTTTGTACAAACTAACAGAGAACTAATCCATACAAATTAACCAATACAAAACGAACATGTGTGGTGACACTGTAGATTAGCCGTTTAATTCAATTGTCACTGAAACGCAGCAGTGGGGTGACGTTTTGTTCAATACTCAGCTGCTGAGCACATATCTTCACACGCCCCCTCAAGCTGGCGTGTATTGATCAAATAAACCCAACTTGTTCAACAAGAAACGAAATCTATCTGCAGACAAACTTTTAGTGAAGATGTCAGCTGGTTGATAATCCGTGGAGACATGTTGCAGAGTGATCAAGCCAGCTTTCAGTCTTTCACGAGTGATGTGCAGATCAACTTCCAAGTGTTTCGTTCACTCGTGAAAGACTGGATTTTTAGCTGTGTATATAGCTGATTGGTTGTCCCAATATAAGGGAATGGGTTGAGGATGTGATACATGAAAGAACTCCATTAACCCTTTCATCCACTGAACTTCACAGCACAGTTGTGGTAATGCCCTGTACTCTGCTTCAGATGAAGACCTGGAGACGATAGTCTGTTTCTTGCTTTTCCATGTAATGAGTGAAATCCCCAGGAAAGTGCAGTATCCTGTAACAGACCTTCTTGTGTCGGGGCAGGTGGCCCAATCGGTGTCACTGTAACCTCTGATAGTTAGATCAGAGGTGCTTGAAAACCATAAGCCCTGACCTAGACTCCCTTTTAGGTATCTTAGAACTCTGTGTAAGGCATGCAAATGTGTAGATGCAGGATTGCTCTGGAACTGTGATAGCTGCTGAACTGGAAATGCTATATCTGGTCTCGTGGTAGTCAGGTATTGAAGCTGTCCCAATAGGTGCCTGTATTCATCACCATCATCTAATGGCACTCCATCTTCAGCAGATAGGACAGTTTTCATACTCAATGGGGTTTTGGCTGGTTTGTTGTTCAAGTAACTTGCATTGGCCAGCATCTCTAGACATAACTTCCTCTGATTGAGGGAAATTCCTTTCTCACTTCTTTGTATCTCCGGCCCCAAAAAATACTTGAATTCTTCAAGGTCTTTAACCTTAAATTCCTTGTGTAGCCACTGCTTGACTTGTTGGATTAAGTCCATGTTACTGCTTGCCAAAATCATATCATCTACATAAATCACCAAGAACAAGTGATCCTTCCCAGAACTGTAACTGAACACAGAATAATCAGAATAGGATTGTTTAAAACCAAGCTTCAACAGAACATCAGTTAGCCTCACAAACCACTGTCTGCTTGCTTGTTTCATCCCATAAAGGGATTTCTGAAGTTTGCACACTTTTCCTTTGTACTCTGGCAACTGGTTCAATCTTGGAGGCAATTCCATGTAAATCTCTTCATCTAGGAAGCCATTCAAAAACGCATTGCTCACATCCATCTGATGTAGATGCCAATGCTTGGCAGCTGCTAATTTAATTAACAATTTCACAGAATTTTGTTTAGCCACTAGTGAGAAAGTGTCCCAGAAATCAACACCATGAACTTGTGTGTACCCCTTTGCCACCACTCTAGCCTTGAGCCTTTCAATGTCTCCATCTGATCTGAATTTAGTTTTATAGACCCACTTTGATCCTATAGTAGTCTTTCCTGCAGGCAAGTCCACAATTTCCCAAGTTTTGTTATCCTCCAATGCATCCCATTCTTCTTTGATAGCTTTGTTCCATCTAGGATCAGAGGAGGCTTGTGCATAAGTTTGAGGTTCTGGGAAAGTGGTGATGTTCATAGCAAAGGATTTTTGGGGAGAAGAAAGGGTTTGGTATGAAAGAAACTCTGAAATAGGATATGTCATACTATGCTCAAGATCCTTATCAATTGTGGTAAGAAGATTGAGGTGGAAACCCCTCAACCAGCTAGGTTGTCTAGGATTTCTAGGTTCTTTCCTAAGAGCAATAGGCAAAGACCCTGAACTTTCTGTTGAGGACTCATAAGTGCTGGCTGGTTGGGGTGATGATGATGAAGTTGATGAATAACCTTAGTTGAATGGATCTATCTGACCCTCTTTCATACCTTAGAACAAACTGAGGAGTAAAGGGTGATGGTGGCGGTGAAGGTATGTAGTCTGGATTATTGGTTTCATGGACATTATGATAAGAGGGAAATATGGGATCAGAATCCTCATCAAGAAAAGTGTACAGGTTGCTCTCTTCAGTTTGTTGAGAGGTCTTTTCAGTTCATGATTCCTTGTAGGGAAATACCATCTCATGAAACTTGACATCCATGCTAACAAAAACTTTATGTTCTTCTATGTCATAAAGTCTAAAGCCCTAATTCCAAAAGGGTATCCCAGAAATACACATTTTCTGGCTCTAGGTGTGAATTTGGTCTTATGCTCATCAGTATTGGTTGCATAAGCCAAGCATTCAAAGACCTTGAGGTCACTATAATCTGGTGGGATTTTAAACAGAACTTCAAATGGTGTTTTGTTCTTCAAGATAGGGCTTGGAATCCTGTTGATCAAATATGCAACATGTAAAACAAAGTAGCTCCAGAAATTGACTCGTAAACCACTATGAAATTTCAATGATCTTGCAACATTCAAGAGATGCTGATTCTTCCTCTCTACACGCCCATTATGTTGAGCAGTTCTAGCACAACTCATCTCATGTATAATTCCATGAGTTTGGTAAAATTCTAACATACAGAATTCCTGTCCTTGATCTGTTCTTATCACCTTAACTTTTTTATCAAACCGAGTTAGTGCCATGGCACAGAAAGACTGAACAAGATTCCTTGCATCAAACTTATTAGCCATCATGTAAAGCCAAACACATCTACTACAATCATATAGAACACTCAAGAAATATTTAAATCCATCAACAGAAACCACATCCACTGGCCCCCAAATGTCAATATGAACAAGGTCCAAAATAGCATCACTAGTAGTGGAGCTTCTACAAAAAGGTAATCTCTTTTGTTTGGACAAATGACAGTTCTCACAATGTTTAGACAAAGGCAAAACTATACTATCAACATCCTTTTGTAATTCCTGTAATCTAGACAATGATGGGTGCCCTAATCTCATATGCCATAAGTCTGAGTCTTGATTGGTGTTTTGTGAAGTGGTGGAAAGAACTTTGGAACTGGTTGAATGACTTCTGGAACTCCCCTGTAAATAAAGACCCTTAGTGACCTGGACTGAACCAATCCTCTGTCGAGATACAAGGTCCTGGATGAAACAAAAATTGGATTTGAGAAGGAGTGAGACTGGTGAACTTTTAGTCAACTAACTTATGGAAATGAGATTATAGGAAAAGGTAGGCACTAACAGGACATTGGTAAGTAAGATACCACTTTCTAACTTAACTATCCCAATATGTGTTGCAGGTGTTTGTTCCCCATTAGGTAGTGTTACCGTGATGCACTGAACAGGTCTACATCTAAGAAAAGAAGCAATTTCACACACACTATATGATCACTTTCTCCAGTATCTAGGACCCATAAACCCTTGTCATACACATTTTGGGAGAAAGAGATAGTAATGCTACCTGACATTGGTGATTTTCCATGGTTTCTCACTGTCACTGAATTAGCCTGACTTGCAGAGGTGTTCCTGTTTGGGGAACTTGGAGCAGATCCAAAGGCTTGATGGATTGAATGCTAGTTGAAAAGATGCTTCAGTTTCCCCAGCTCATCAACTGCAGTGGAGAAACTGGCAAATAATGCTTGCGCATCAGCAACAGATCGGCTCCTTTGGTCTGCTCCAGGGCTAGGAGGAGTAAATTGTGCACCACTTGAGAAACCTTCAGACATTGTATCAACTGCTCCAGTAAAGCCCCTATTCCCAGAACTACCAGATCTAGGGTTTCCTTGCATTTTGTTCTTCTTTTTTAGTTTCCAGCAGTCTTCAATGACATGGTTGTCTTTCTTACAATACCTGCAGAACAAATCACCTCTTCTTTCCTCCTTTTGGGAGTTCTGAGAACTTTGAAAGTTCTGGCCATTCCTGTTTTGATTACCAGATGCTGCCAAGGCAATGGCATATGTCCCCTTTCCACCTGTTAGACTAGTTCCATTCATTTGCCTCTCAAGTTGCACAACAGATCTATAGACTGTATCAAGATCAGGAAAGGGGTCCAACATAAGCATCTGGGTTCTGACTTGCTGAAAGTTCTGATTTAAGCCTAACAAGAACCTAATCACTTTAGCATACTCTTGATATTTTATCACAGTATTGTATGTTCCAGCCGCACAATCACAGAACGGTATTAGGAGATATGAATGCAACTTATCCCATGAAACTTTCAGATTTGTAAAATACTACCTAATAGACAACGTTCCCTGTTTATTCAAGTCGACTTTCTCCTGTAGATCAGCTATACAAATCTAGTCACCCTGACCAAACTTAGATTTCAAATATGTCCAAGCATCAGCAGCAGATTTAATGCTTCTAAGAGTAGGCACAATGTCATCAGAAACAAAGTTACGAATCCAGCATACTATTGTTCCATTACACCTTTCCCAGGTGCTAAAAAGGGGATCTTGGAGATCTGGTACCTTAATCGAGCCATCCACGAAGCCAAACTTGATTTTGGTCTTCAGGGCTACCTCCATCGACTCACTTCACAACAGGTAGTTGTCGGTTGTGAGTTTGAAGCCGATGACTGGGAGGAAAGAGTTGTCACTGTTGGCGAGGTAGAAAGGATTGTTGTAAGGATCCTCAAAAAGAGCTTGGCTTGGGCCGCTGCCGTTGCCGGGCCTCGTCCCAGGCTGAGTGCTCTCGTCTCCGTCAGTGATAGTCCCATTGTGGGTAAGAAGATAGATTATCAGATGGGGGGAAAGAGGGGAGGAAATGCGAAGGGTATTCAAAGCCAACCAGGCTGTGATACCATGTGAATGTTTGAAGATTTAGACAAAGAACCCTTCTTTTGTGAAGAAGATGAAAGGGGAAGGAGCCTGTAGGGTTTGGGGAAAGCGGATCGATGTCTTTTCATTCAGCCTTAGCTGGTTTATATAGTCTGTACATATGGAGAAAAGAAAGGTAATGAAAGAAAAACCTATCTACTGATCTACGGATCTACTGCTAATTCTTTCTACAAACTAACAGAGAACTAATCTATACAAATTAACCAATACAAAACGAACACGTGTGGTGACACTGTAGATTAGCCGTTTAATTCAATTGTCACTGAAACGCAGCAGTGGGGTGACATTTTGTTCAATACTCAGCAGCTGAGCTGGGCTGCTGAGTTGGGATGCTGCTGGGCACATATCTTCACAAAATCACAGCCCTTGCTGCTCTTCTTTTGATTCCTACCTTTTCCTTCCCTGGTGAAGCCTACTAAACGTTTCTCCATCGGGATAAGAAGACTCCAAAATTGATACTAAACGTGAATGTGCATGCATAATTCCGCCAAATCGTATAATCCTTTCCCACACAGCATATATTCTACTAATTAATAATGCTCTTTTCATCACATGAATCAGAAAGTTGCATCCTTTATCAAAAGGGAGCGAGCGAAAGCTTAGCTTGCTGCTAATTGAATTTCACTTTGGGGTCGTTTGGATTCAGAAAAGTGAGCAGGGATTTGGCCCAAATTCTGGCCCATCCAGGAATTTAACAAATTTTCTCGTTTGGATAGCAATAAAAATGGTAGAGATTTGGGCCACCGAGATTTCTAAATCCGGCCCACTCGGAAATTAGAAATATCTGCTATACTCCAAGTATTTTAAAATTCGGCCTTGTTTTTTTTGTTTCTTCCCAGCGTATCCCTGCGTGACTGCGCAGTGCCCAGCGCAATCTCGCCAGAGTTGGACGCGGGAGAGAAGGAGATCGGAGAAGACGACGCAAGCTCTCCGACCACCACCACATCCTCCTCCACCACCGCCCCGACACATCTCCTTTCTCCTCTTCTTCCGTCGCACTCTGTGCTTCTTCCCCTGCACCAGTCAGCGAAGAATTCAGATCTAGAATCGAGCGTCAAGAATGGGGGAGCTTCGATTGGACCCTAATCGATCGCCCACGATGGAGACTGGAGAGGAAGCCGGAGACTGGCGAGGAAGATGGGGGAATCCTCTGATGCCATGGCTTATCCATCCAAAGGCCAAAGTGGAAACCGACGGTGGCGAGATACAAGGGAGAAGACATGAGGACATCCGACGGGGCAACATCGTCGACATCATCAGCAGTGACGAGGAAGAAGCTGTCCAGTAGGGAGAGGGAGATTACGAATGGTGGCGTCGACGACTTGGTTGATGGCGGCTTTCTCTGTTTCTGCGGATCTACCATTTGCACAAGAAGATCATGGTTGTAGTTATATTGGGATTTTGATTTTTGGGTAGTTGGCGAGACTTAATGGCAACCCCTTTGTCTCTGCTGGAGAGGGGATGGTGGGAGTGGCGCCACCTCCATCTCTCCTGTCTTGATTATTACGCTGATCAGCGCAAGGGAGGAAGAAGGCTCGATGCAAAGATAGGTAGGGGGTTAGGGATTTGGGTCAGCGAAGAAGAAAAGGGCAAAACAGGTACTTCAATTTTTCATTAAAATTTAAAATCACGGATGACAAATTCTAAATCCATTGTCAAACAGATAATTTGGCCAAAATCCTACGTTTAAATTATCTAGGTTTTTAATTAGGAATTTGAGCTTAAATCCCTCCTTTATACAATTCTTGATCCAAACGACCCCTTTAAGAAATTATCTTGGTTTTTAATTAGGAATTTGAGCTTAAATCCCTCCTTTATACAATTCTTGATCCAAACGACCCCTTTAAGCTTTATTTAAACAATGTTTCTGTATGTTGGATGAGTAACCCTAGGGAAATTCCATGGATTTGTAGATTCCCGCGTTTATGGCAAGCTAATTAGGGAATCATCGTTAGGTCGAGTACTTTACGCCCAACATATATCAACCACATGGTGGTATAGCTAGCATTAGCAAGCATGGAGTTCCCACACTCCCATATACCGAAAAAACTACACTACTAAAAAAGTGACATTTGCCAACACTACGTTTGCGACACTTATTAAAGGTGTTGCTTATAGCTAACCGTGAATACATTTCTTTTAAATGTTACTTAAAAAATACTTTCTACAACATAAATGACTCATCAGTTAAATCATGTCGCATTTGCTATATTCTACGCAAGGCTTATGACCTAAATAACTTAATTTTTTTTATTCGTACATTTTAAGCTACATTTAAACTAATGATGCTGAGCAAAGTTAAAGACATGATAATTAAATATATTCTACCAATTAATTAATGTAAAGGAATTTAATTGCATATACACGTTGCATGCTTTGAAGTTTTAATTTCTTGATGTGCATTTCTTAAAAAAAAATCAATGGAAATTATAATGAAGACCCCACGTATATGGACTTCTCCAACTCCAAAAAGACTTGCCTAGAACAAACTCTAGTTTGTGTTGTTGAATTTTTTCCTGAGAATAATTGCTTCTAGTAATAAGCTAATAAAGCTACATTTGTTTTGGTATTCTTGTGATTCATTTCCTGTGTGTTCTCATAGTTAATAGTGGAATGGTAGCTTTAACTTCAAGTTGAGAACCATGATTATGAAAGGAAATTATAGTTGAAATTGAGATGGTGTTACACTTATTCTCACTTTTAGTTTTCTTTTGCTTATGTGTTTTGTTGGGTTTGTTGCTCTGAGCTATAAGATTATAATGCATGTTGAATTTACAGCCGGTTGATATATTTTTTTATGTTTACAGCCTCAACAGATATGGTGCAAACAAAGTAATTTCACTATATTTCTTGCACTTTTAAAAGTGGATTCAGTTGTGTTGTTAGGATAAATGTCCTTGCTACTTTGAAGGTCCCCCTCTTGATTATTTTTTATCTTCTTTATTGGCTAAATTACACATTTGGTCACTCGAATTACATAAACATTTCACGTTTGCCACCCAAATTAATTTTCTTTCAATGTAACCACTCACTTTACGAATCGTTTCACCGTTGGTCACCCTCCGTCAGTCTCCGTCAGACTCCGTTAACGCCGTCAGATTTTTGATGACGTGGCAAACGGAAGTGCTGACTGGGCTGACAGAGAGGCTAAAAAAGACGGCTTTGACTGCCTAGTCAGCCACATACCCGACCCAGCAATTTAATTGACCCGTTTTTTGTATTTCATTTTTCTTTTCTTTTATTTTTATTGAAAAAAGGTTTACTTTTAGTTGGAAAACTGAAAACGATCGGGCAGAAGGGGCTTTTCACTTCTCTTCTTCTCTTCTTCTCTTCTTCTCTTCTCTTCGTATTCTATTCGGGGTCAACCATAACCTGCTAGATCCGGACCACGTTGAACGAGAACGGCAGCCCAATCCCTCTAGCAAACCCTACCAGCCTCGACCCGACCCGTGGATGAACCGCTCCTCCGTCGCGTCGTGCGCCAGAGCCGTAATCCGCAGCATCTCGATCGAATTGGGGGAACTCGACAGAGCCTGCATCAGCGCAATCATCATCACGCCTGAGCAGATCCGGAGCTCGACCACGTGGATCCGCTTCTCTCCGTCGAGATTCTCCATCAAGATCTGGACGGCGGCGAGCTGGGAGGCGCTGTAGAACGGCACGCTGTTCCGGTACTCCATCACGCTCTTGTCCGGGAGCGTCACCGCCGCGTCCGATACCAACGGCTTCCGATGATCGTCTACCGATTCGCCGCCGCGGCTGGTCTTTTGGGCTTCGATCCGCTGGCGGAGGGCGTTGCAGAAGTAGTACCCGACCCGCTGGACCGGACTGCCGGCCTGAGAAGCGAACCGGTCGCAGAGGTCGAGCACCTGGAGTGCGAGGCCGAATTTCCCCTTTCCGACGTTCTCCGCGCACTCGAGGAGGTACTCCATGAGCTCCACGTTATTGGATTCCTCCTGGGTGAGTCCCGTGAGGAGGTGGGGGACGTCGATTCCTTGCGCCGGCGACCTGGATTGTAAGATTCTGGCTCCGGCGAGCTTTATGTCCTGCAGAGAATAGAATACGAAGAGAAGAGAAGAAGAGAAGAAGAGAAGTGAAAAGCCCCTTCTGCCCGATCGTTTTCAGTTTTCCAACTAAAAGTAAACCTTTTTTCAATAAAAATAAAAGAAAAGAAAAATGAAATACAAAAAACGGGTCAATTAAATTGCTGGGTCGGGTATGTGGCTGACTAGGCAGTCAAAGCCGTCTTTTTTAGCCTCTCTGTCAGCCCAGTCAGCACTTCCGTTTGCCACGTCATCAAAAATCTGACGGCGTTAACGGAGTCTGACGGAGACTGACGGAGGGTGACCAACGGTGAAACGATTCGTAAAGTGAGTGGTTACATTGAAAGAAAATTAATTTGGGTGGCAAACGTGAAATGTTTATGTAATTCGAGTGACCAAATGTGTAATTTAGCCCTTCTTTATCTTCTGCTAATGAAGTTCTATCTTATATTATTATCTACGCAAAATACACTTTTATAGTCATAACTTTCACGTTTGTGACAAATATAGTCATAACTATCGTAAAATATAAAATAGCCCAAAAATTGAATGTTATGCTAGTGTGACAAATCTAGCCATTTTCGTTAGAAACTTTAATGGTGTTAGAGACTCCGTCAGTTAGGTTAACTTTAGGTTGACTAGGATGCCAAATCATCGCACACGTCAGCGACAACTCAACCACACTTGCCATATAAATACCATGTCATATTTCAATACACAAATAAAAAATAAAATTAATTCTCTCCGCCAAATAGATTTCTTTTGCGTCGCCGGTGGCTCCAACCTCCATAGGTCGACGAACACAGTAGCTGATAGAAAAAAAATAGAAGAAAGAAAACCCATCTTTAGAAAACCTAACTTTGCCAATCTCTCCAGTTCATCCAAATCCCCCAAATTGAATAACCCATGTGTTTGGGGCTGCTATTATCGTACTGGAATCAGACGAGCAGAGAAGCTAGAGTCAGTCTTGAGCCAGAGTGGGTCTTCTTCAAAAACGACTGCAATGGTGCGGGTTTCTTCTTCGTTTGAATCCGCCAGGAGCAGGGGAGGATGATTTGTCGGCGGCGGTGGCGGCATCGTGATGGCGAAGACGGGGTTTTCTACTTGTCGTGCCAGATCTGTAAAAAGGGTTGAATGGTGGTTGGTGGAAGAACAAGAAAGGGAGGACTTCTCCGCAGTACTTTGTCGTGGTTGAGGTCTATTAGGGATTCGCCCCTCCGCCAAATCAGATATGGTTTGGTGATTATAAAAGGAGGACGAAGTTAGGAGGGGTGCCTTGTCACACCCTGTAGGTGGCGTCGAGCGCGAGATGCACCGACTTCTTCCCTGTGTTTTTTTCTTTGATTCAACTAGTTCCTGCAAAAACCTTAATCGAAACTTTCGCACAGAACAAGTAAAGAACTTGGAAGGAGAACAGATTTGATCGAATAGAAATGAAAACCCCTTCCCTTCTCGTGTTTGTGGTGTGGCCGAAAGAGAGTGGACTTCCGTCCTTTCGTTGGTTAAAACTAAAGCCCAAAATATGTTTTACTTAACCTAATAGAATAAGGAAAAAATCCAAAATTACCACTGTTTAAAAAAAAATACAAAAATACTACCCACTCCAAATAATTTCCAAAAATACCATCGTTTATATAAAACCGCGCCTCTAATGAGCGGTTTTTAATGAAACCGCGCCTCCAAGCAACGGTTATAGCACAATGAGCCTTCCTTCTTTAGTTCCCTTTGAATTTGCCACCTTCCATCTTTGAGCATCAACTTACCAAACCGGCAGAATTGCATCCCGTTGGGTTTGATTGCTGAGCTGTACCCAACATTATCCCCCTCAGCTTAGCAATGTCACTTCCTGAAACTTAGACACAGAAGTACCACAAGCACAGATTATAGAATAGAAATCATCCCATATGTAACCATTGCACAAGATAATTATTAGTCCAAAGCAAAAACATTCATTCCCACAAGAAACACTCAAGATCACTCATTATTGAAAGCAACACTCGCTCAACTAAGAAAATACAAAGAAGTCCTATCCTCGCCCTGACTCTAGTGCCACTCTAGAAGTCATATTCAGGATCAGACTCATATTCTGAGATATCTCCGTCAGAAAAGTTGGGCAGGTTATCGATCCTTGAGACATTATCCCCTGCGACATCTTCCACAGGGTCCTCTGGCTCTTTAGCCTCCTTGTTAGGTGAGGTTTTGGTGTTGGTGATGATCCGAATGCTCTTCCCAGCAGTCGTTGGTCGAGCTATCTCCCCCTTACTCCTATCCGCCAGCTTCCTTTTACTGTTCTCTTTTGCTATGCCTTCCAAACATCTCCAAACAGCAGCAAGGTCAGCTACCGTATTGCGAACAGCCTGAGCTTAAGTCTTGTCTCCCCCTTGAGCATTACGGAGCTTACGAACACCAACAAGCGCATCCACACTGCGAAGCACGTGTTGTGCACGAAGGGTGTTAAGGACATTGACGAGGAGGCCTTGTCCTCGAGATCAATCCAAAGACAGGAAAGGAGACGAGAGATTTAAGGGGCGAAAGGAAGATATCCCCCATTTTGATGATCACTGCAGACCATCATATGATGCAGCATCAGATGAGGGTAGCTCAGCTTTCGATATGACACAGCATTGTACAGGATCCAGAGATCGAGACGGGTCACCGTCGAACGATCGACAGTCAGAGGTAGAAAGACGTGAGTGATGTAAAAATGCATCACCTTTAGATCATCAGGTAGGCAACTCAGATTGGTAGAGTTAAAACCAACAGTCTCGATGGTAGAGAGTCGGGAGATGGCAGAGCGGGGACTGAAGTTATACCTATCGAAATCACTTTCACTCATCACCTCACGACCTTCCGTGGAGAGATTCAGCTTCTGGGACAAGAGTTCCATACACCGTAGCGATTACAATGGCGGGTCCAGGTCCATTGATGCACCGCAAATATGCATAGAAGGTGCGACTGCGAACAGCCTCTGGACAATATGTAAACCGTTGTCGCTCCAGGAGAGAATCCCAGCCAAGTGCATTGACCAGCTCTGCGACGCGCAATTGATAACGATTGAACATGGCTAGTTCAATCGTATAAGTGGGGATTAGGCGTCGATGATGGAAGTAGCGAAGGTAACGTGGGTAGTCCCGGGGATCGGGACACACGTTGTTGGTAAAGACAGAGGAGCGCGCAGTAATGAGGGATAATTGAGGGTTGAAAGCCATGGTGAGGTTATGAAAGTAGTAGTGCAGATGAATGAGATGATGAAGCGGGGAGGAAGAAAAGGGTTTAAATATTTTACCAGACAATCAATTAGTACTGATAGACAATTTTAAATCACGATTAACAAGCCTATCAATCAAGTTTCTCAGTCCAGGAAATCAATAGACACAAAAATATGGGAGAAAGAGTCACTTACCTTGTTTGTGTGAAAGGTACAGCTAGTAATGGGAGTATTATCTCCCCTGACTGTATTCAAATGAAATTGCCCGTCACTTACCGTGTCCAGGGGCGGACCCAGGGGGTTTTAGGGGTGTCCCCGGACACCCCTAAATTTCGGGAAAATGATTATCCAACCCCCGGTGGTAATTTACGTATAGACAAAAAAATATAATTGATAGTGAGGGACACCCCTGAAATTTCAAAAATGATTATCCTACTGTCATTTGTGTATAAAAATATAAATGGTAGGTTGGGTAATTTAAATCTAGAACACTATTATTATTATTAATAAACTTAATTTCCGTTGAGCTACAACTCATTTGGTGTTCGATTTTGAACAATGTGTAATAGTAAAAAGTCATTCCCTATCTCTAATTATTTCAATCTAAACTAATTTCAATCTTCCCTTAATTTGTATTGATTTTATGATTGTACGGCAAGTGTTGAAATGTCTTTCAGCTTTGGGTTACATCAAGAACAAGTTTACAAATCGAATATGCGATAAGTTCCCGAATGATTGTCTAGTAGGGTGTATAGAGAATTTTTTTTAACACTATAAACACCAAGTGTATTCTACAATTATTTTTGAATATGAAAACACACCATGGACTTTTTTAACATGTACGAGTAAGCTATTTTCATATTTACGATTTTATTTTTATTAATTATAATTATTTATTTTTAATTTATTTTTTAAAAGAGGACACCCCTATGGAAAATTTCTGGGTCCGCCACTGACCGTGTCTGCTTTCCATAACTTGCTGTGGAGGAATTCGCATAGCAGCATAAACTTAGTCCGACTCTGTGCAGTATACAAAAGGAGTTAGTTGGATCTAGAGATGTCTTCAAAAGACATTAACCCTAAATATCGGCCCATTGGAACTGAGTGGGAATGAACTCCAGACGAATGGAGTTCTTTTCAACTAATTCCCTAATAAAATGATACCTAATGTCTATATGCTTAGTTCGGGAGTGCTGAATAGGATTTTTGGCTATATTGATGGCTCTGGTGTTATCACACAACACAGGTAGGGCGTCAAATTTCAGACCATAGTCCAGAAGTTGATGCTTGATCCACGGAGATTGTGTGCAACACGAGCCTGCTGCTATGTATTCAGCCTCAGCCATCGAGAGAGCAACGGATTTTTGCTTCTTGCTAAACCAAGAAATAAGGGGTGTGCCTAGAAAGTGACACGCTCAAGAGGTGCTCTTTCTATAGGCCAGGCTACCAGCAAAATCTGAGTCACTGTAACCTAGGGGTTCTAAACTTGATTCACAGGAGTACCACAAACCCCACGAGATAGTACCAGCAAGGTATCTAAAAATTCGTTTAACCGCTACTAGGTGACTTTCCTTACGGTTACTTTGGAACCGAACAACACACACAACAAACATAATATCAGGACGACTAGCAGTTAGATAAAGCAAAGACCCGATCATTCCCCTATATAGCTTCTCACTTATACTATTGCCAGACTCATCCTTATCAAGCTTTGCATTGCTAGCCATAGGAGTGGCAACTGGTTTTAAGTTCCCTAGATTAAACCGAGTTAACATATTGCTGAGGTATTTGCTCTGGTTTATGAAAATCCCTTTGGAGCTTTGGTGAACTTGAAATCCCAAAAAGTATGTCAACTGTCCCATAAGACTCATTTCGAAAGATTCTTTCATTAGATGTTCGAAATCATGACATAACTTCAAATCAAATGATCCAAAAATGATGTCATCTACGTAGACCTGAACAAGAAGCATTTTAGGCCCTCTTGACTTGATAAAAAGCGTTTTGTCAACTGATCCCCTAGTGAACCCATTACTAGTCAACACATTACTTAGTTTCTCATACCAAGCTCTAAGAGCTTATTTCACACCGTACAAAGCTTTGTTTAGTTTGTAAAGCAGAGTCGTCAAAAAAATTACATTGATTGACTCCTCGTCTAACCTTTCTACACTTTCACAAGCAGAGTCGTCAAAAATTACATTGATTGACTCCTCGACTTTGAGAGTTCTTTTGTTAAAAACTCTGAAAGCTCTACTGACATTGGAATAGCCAAGAAATACTGTTGCGTCTGATTTAGAGTCAAACTTCCCTAGATTATCTTTAGTGTTTAACACAAAACACTTACATCCAAATGGATGAAAATAACCTAAGTTGGGTTTCCTCCCTTTCCAGATTTCATAAGGAGTTTTCTTGATTTCAGATCTAATGAGAGCTCGATTAATGGTGTAGCAAGCAGTATTGATAGCCTCGACCCAGAAATACTTTGGTAAGTTGTAATCATTTAGCATGGACCGAGCTATTTCAATCAAGGTTCTATTTTTTCTTTCCACTAATCCGTTTTACTGCGGAGTTCTTGGAGTAGAAAAATTGTGGTGGATACCATGTTCTAAACAAAAAATGTTACAACTTTCAGAAAGAAATTCACCATCGTGATCGATTCTAATACTAACAATTTTAGTCTGCTTCTCATTTTCAATTTTCATGGACAGATTTTGAAAGTTGATAAAAGCTTCGTCCTTGTCAGCCAAGAAAAGTACCCATGTAAATCGAGAGTAATTATCTACGATAACAAAGGCATAACTCTTACCTCCATAACTTACCACATTTGTTGGTCCGAATAGGTCAAGGTGTAGTAATTCCAGAGGTCTGGTAGTGGAGATCACCGACTTGCTTTTAAAACTAGATCTAACATGCTTACCTTTAGCACAAGCATCACAGAAGAAGTCCTTTTTACCTCTCAACTTAGGTATACCTCTAACAAGATCGAGACTCTATTTTGGACAAGACTCCTATGTTAACATGACCTAGTTTCCTATGCTAGTCGAATTTATCATTATTATTCACAGAAACTAGACACAATTCTTTTGACAGATACTCACTGTCGAGATCTATAACATACACTTTTCCTCTCCTTTTCCCAGTGAACAGAATTTCTTTAGATGCTTTATTTTCTATGTAGCAAAAATCTGTTTAAAAAACGACCTTGTTACCTAATCTACAAAGCTAGTTGACAAAAAGCAGATTATGCTTGAGGTTGTTTACTAGCATAACATTCGAAATGCTAGGACCAGATCC